CGTCTATCAAAATAAAGATAAATACAAAAATAGATAATAGATAACTTTAAACAATCAAATCAGACTTTTAAGAATCCAACTTTGCATTTCACTGGTTTTTGATAATGAAGTATAATAAGCCAACTTACTTTAAAATATGAAGTCAAACGAAAAGGTACAAAAAATGTCAAACGAAACTGGCATTTGCCATGTAACCCAAGTAGCAAAAACCGTTGGCAAATCGTTGGCCCAACGTTTCTGTAGATCGTTGGCCAACGGTATGTTTTGGCACTCAGTCTTACGGCTGGCCAACCAACCAATTTTTGCGGAAGGGCCAACCATCCCATTGGGCATAAACATAAAAAACACAAAATAATAAAGATTTTGTATGCAAAGCATTATTATGAGTTGAGTAAATTGATTAAATAGTTCATAAAAACTTATTTTGAAAATAAAACGAAATAAAATTTTTTGCCCGGGACGGGTTTTGTACCCGGTACCTTCGACATGTGAGCCTCACACCTTATCTCTGAGCTAACTGTGCTTGTTGATTATGGGTGTTTTCAAGGGGGGTAGGTTGGTTCCGCATTTGCTACCTACACTAATCCGGGTCCCGTAGGGTGGGTTATAATCTGGTAGGTCAGTTCCGCATTTGACGGCTTCAACAATAGATCTCTTGAAATTGTAAAGATCAGTGAAGCGTACAAAAATGCCAGTCAACCGAAATAATCCATAAAAATAAGCAAGTTCTGAATGAGTTAAAGTTGAAGTAGCATGTTCCAGTTGTAACGATTTCTCTAGTTTTTTACCATAGCTGATGCAGATATTTCTTTCACCGATCCCAATCTTAAAGGGCGAAGATTATTATTGATTATTATTATATTGAAGATTATTATCCCAATCATTATTGCGAAGCCGCAATCTTAAAACTAAAAAAATCACATTACACCAGCTGCTGCTTAAATACGCTTATGTTACAAAATGCTAATAGCTCAGTTGGTAAACTAAACCTGTCACAGGAAAAACTTTAAACTTTGTAAGCATCTTATAACAAATTAAAAATATAAAACAAAACTAGTGTACCTGTTGCTCGAAATCGAGCAGTTGTCTAGTACCGGCACTACAGAAGCTATAAGTCTAGTAGTCATAATTTTCTATGAGTTTAAAAGACCCTATTAAAAGCGTATGCAACTAATGGAAATACATACGCATAGATACGCATGGATAATAACAGTTATAATAAACACGTCTTGTAAATACTGACAACAAACTAAATATGTTCTCTGCTGTATTCCCTGTAGTAAACAATGCGGTGTAATATTTCTAGGAATTCCCAAAAAAATATTTCCTAAAATATGGGAATCGGGGGAAGAGAGTATTTGTAGTACGCGAGGATGGTATGTGGCTGCAATCACTTGGAGAATTCAAGCATCTAGACCGCGTGCTATTCTGTGTGTTCATAGATTTTTTACATAACTATTATCACAACTAATCATAGTGTGTACGGTATCTGTGCAGTATTATTACTAAATAGTCAAATCAGTATTATTACTAAGATCAATTTTGTTAACATTTATGAAACAGGTAATTTTCTTACATCCTAAACATAAAATATGTAGAGTTTGTATCATAAATATTCCGAATTTCGAATCGGATACAAGCGTATCCAATCTTTGGATATTTAACTTAAATTTGTTCAATATTCATTCTACGTCGCCTTTTAGTGAGGCTAATTACCCTTGTCTAATGGAGTGTAACCCACCTTTGTCAATATAAATGCGGAAATAACCTACCTACTTAAGGGGCCCACCAGATTCAAATGCGGAACGAACCTACCCATTTATGGCCCTAGGGTCATTATCTGCGGAACTAACCTACCACCTTTTCAAGTGGTCAAAGAGTAGGTGACAGGTGCCATGGTCACAATTAATATTTTAAATATTTTTGATGCTACAGTATGACATGATTCTGTTTATCTGTTTAGGCCTCAAGTAGTTGAATTGTTTTTCTGGTAGTTGGAGAGGATACTAGTATTTGAATGTAGATTATTTAATTACCATTAGATTAGTAGGCTACTGTTATAATTGATTGTTATATAATTAATTAATCTTTTCTCTGTAACTATTTAAAACTTGCTTAAATAAGTTAAAGAATATTAAAAAAAAAATAATTATAATAATTAATATATGTTAAGCAGGTGTTCCCCACTGTATCTAGTATCACAACATCATCTGACTACATTCATTATTGATCCAATTTTTTACAATATCTGTCTTATATTCTGCTGCCATAACATTTATGTACTTTTAAATGCCTAAATCAATTTGTTAAAATTCGTTTTAGAATGTTTTATACTTAAACCCAACGAAGGCCCAACGATTCTTTCCTTTGTAGGGCAAACGAATACCAGTTTCCGTTGGGCCAACGTTGGCAAATCGTTAAAATTTCAGCCAACCATTTCCCAACCGTGCCGACCATTTCCCAACGTTGGGCCAACGATGTGTGCTACTTGGGAAATCTGGTCAAAATTCAAAATTTCAAAATTTTTTCAAAAGTCAAAATTTCACAAAAAGCTTATCTTAATAATTTATAAATACATTTGTATTGTTAAGACTCTCAATGCATATTCAATATAAATTAATACTCAGCAAGAATAAAGACTAAAACAAATACAGCAATCTGACACATCATTTCTCTCACTAGCTTGTCAACACCACTTATTATGAACAAGGAGTGGGGGTAACCATGATATTTTTTGGGTAACATAACAAAAGTTGTAATAACTTTTGAACCGTATTGTTTACAGTATTGGAGATTGTACCATTTTGTGTAGGGCTACAATGATGATAAAATACAAAATTTTATTCAAAGTAGTTTGAGTCGTTTTTGAAAAAATCCAATTTTTACCTTTATTTTATGGGTTTTTATGGGCAAATCGCTATTAAAAATCAAAGCTTTAAAAAAGAAAAATACCCTGGAGAAATCTTGGGTTAATACACTTATACAAAATTTCATGGAAATTGGACCAAAGGTGTACCCTGTATGTCAGGTCTGTACACGTCCACAATCACACACACTTCACTTCGAAAACAATTTATACGTCCAAACCGGGGCTATCGTCCAAACAGGATACATCCCCACCCAAAACTTAAACTAGAAAATTTTGACGAAAAATTACTTCTCCATATACCATGTATAGTGGGAGAAAGTAAAAAGGTATGCTCTTGCTCAAAATAACATATGTTAAGTACATTAAATAAATGGTACCAAATTATCAAATTTTGATATAATGCGCGGCCTTCATTAAGCGTAGTTTTAAGAAATAAAATTATACAGAAACGCACTCTAAAGAACAGAAACACAATTTAGAACTGTCTCTTGAGCTTATCCGCAAGGGACCCATAAGCAAAAGCACAGACAAGAAAAACAAAACAACTTTTATTTCCTTAGGCCCCCTTCACACTGGGCCACCATGGTGGTGACACCGGTGGCGACACCATGGTGGCTACGTTACATTAGCATTGATTTAAATGGGACATCTTCACACTGAGCTTTGGTGGCGCGTCTGGCCGCGCGACCAGAAATGCGGTGGCTCGGGGTTGCGATTTTCAGAGACACCAGTCTGGTGGCGCCACCACGTCGTACCATGGTTTCTTATCGGACTGTTCACATTGGAGCGACTGGCAGCGCCACCAGTCACTACCAGCGGGCATTACTCAGTATACTAGTTTACTAATCTTTTGAAGTTGTTAAGGTAATAAATATGGGGAAACGATTTTATTGATATAACAAAATGTATAGGTATTTCATTTACATCTTTTCGTCATTGCAATGTATACATTGAGTCAAGGTATTACAGTGTTATTAATAAATGGTATATTAACTATGTTTTTATTTAATTTTCCTCAACGTTAGTAGCAGTTTCTCTTCTGGAGATATTTTATCTTTCAGACGTCCCAGAAGCTCATAAAAACTTAAAACGCTCATTCTTGGGTAAGTATAGTAATTGTGAAACGTGTCAGGGTTATTTCTAAATTTTAAGGTCTTGGTAGTGAATTAAAAAAGTCTCTCTGGTACTTATATCTCATAAAAACGGATGAACAAAAAACATACGTTTTTTTCTTATGTTTTCACAATTTAAAAAAAAATATATACGCTAAGCACCTGCCTCTTCGACGTCCAACTGTGAGCTTTGTGGCTGCAGCTGCACTGGTGGCTGAGCTGGTGGTCCATGCACATTTTGACCGGCCACCAGTGTCGCCACCGGTGTCGCCACCATGGTGGCCCAGTGTGAAGAGGCCTAGTCAATGGCAAAAAACTTCCTCCAGGCCACAAAAGTGGCAACGCTGCAGACCCGGTATACTGAAACAGTTGTTGCAGTAATTTATGTTGGAGCGTATATACGAAATGTTTATGTGTACAAGTTTGTTACTCCTGCATTACTATGATGGCAATAGGCATGTTAACGATACCACACACCAAAGCCATGGCTTTGTTTTAAAGGAGGCTATGATATGATATTTAAGGCATAGCGGAGAGGCCTGTAGTGGCATGTATCAGCTAAAGATAATTTTCTGTTTAAATGTGTGTGCTGCTAAAATAATTTAAAAAATGTTGTCAACAAAGCGGATAAAAAGTGTAATTGTCGGTGGTCACAATGCTACATGCTACCTCAATGGTGTGGTCCTCCCCGCAGATGAAGGTGGGAGTGGCGTTGGCGTAGCAGCGGCAGCGGCGGACCGTTTTTCGTTTACCATCCAGTTGTGATCCAGTTAGACACCATGGATAAAACATACAATACACATCGATGCAAATGTATCGATAATAAGTGTATAATATTAGCTAATCATTCTGTGTCTAGAATGATAATACTTTATTTTGATATAGTATTGAGTTTTTTACAAGTGTTCAAAGTGCATACCTCTATGGCATGGTGATGGCATTATTTTTTTGCAACCTCAAATGTTGTCTGCTGGAAAATTATAAACGAACAACGATCTGTCAAAACACTCAAAACCGAGTATGTGTAGAACCAAGTAATTGATCCATGTTTGTTGAACTGTGTTCCTCGATTAAAATCCAATTTGTCAGTTGGTAATTATGTCCTACATAATCAAATAAATTACCGGGATCTACTTCAGTATCAGACATTAAGTGAACTGGGTGAGTTTGTGTAATATATAACTTAAAGTAGGGCCTAGGACTTTCTAAACAAACACAATGCTTGTCTATATTGACGTTTTATTTACTATATTATATTTTCACCCTTAAATATTTGAATAGTTTCAGATGATGGAAGACTTACTTTTACAAATCGCTAATGAAGCAAGTGGCCAAAAGTTTACCGACTTGAAGAAAGCATCACAGGATGCATATGGTAAGGACACATCTAAAACAAAATTATGATGGTTCAATGATTTAGCCTAATATTTAAGGAGGAGTTGAGCCTTACTTAAGCTTTGATATGTTTGTAATGGATCATGATTAATCCGAGCTTATCTGATTGTCAATGGTTAATTAATTTGTACCATTTATTCATTTTACACTAGCCTAAGTTAAATAAATAACATTCTTGATTTCACTCTAACACAGCTTTTTGGATTGGCTAGGCTTACTTGACATATCTCTCAATCAGATTCTGATTGCATAACCATTTGACCAGATAAATTGACAATGTTGGCAATTCTCAAGAAGGCTACAGTTAGGGTTTACTGCTTTAGAAGCCGCAGAGAAGGACAATACCAAGAATATAGTGAGTGATAAAATGGTTTTATGCACAGCTGAAGTTGTGCGTGTACAGATTTGTTCTCAATACCAAAATCCACAATTGAAGGAATAAAAATAATATACTATACCTACTACCATTAGGCCTACATTGTTTTCACCTATAAGGGTACTTACCTAACCTCTAATCAGGCCTGCTTTTATAAACGGGCAGACTGGGCATATACCCAGGGGCGCCTGGTGGGCGCCGTACAACAACTGCCCGTCAGCACTAGGAAAAAAGGGGGGCGCTGATTTTGATTTTGCCCAGGGCTCCACTGACTCTTAACGCGGCCCTGCCTTTAATTGGCGGAATTCCATTCAGATCCATTCACCTTGCTAACGTTGCTGCCATTGAAACTCAATGGTGACAAACAATTATTCATACCTTCAGGAAATGATTTAATAGGCTAAGTAAGTTAAAAAACCAATGTTAAAATGTGATACCCTAAGTAAATGATATCAAAAACCGTTCCAGACTTTTTGGAATCCCAACAAGGACTAATTAGAGACCCAGCACATGAATTACGAGCAAAATGTCTTCATGCTTTCAAACTGGCTTTGGAAACCAAACGAAGCAAGTTTGTTGCATTTGGACTCACCGGTCTTCACGTAAGTCAAATTTCATAACTATGTACGGATGAAATTTTATTTGTAAACCAGAAGTTCTGCTGTAGGGCCTAAGTTAAATAGGCCTACTTTAGAAGAAACCATCATTTACTTGAGACTAATGATTTCAGCAGTTTTAATTAACTTAGTGAACTTCAGAAAGTTAAATTTGTTGGATAGGATAAAGTTTCCTCACTACTGTATAGTAAGTTAACCCCTTATTTTTTCCAAACATGTTTGTACCGTTACCTATAGGCCTAAGCTGTAGTCTAACTGATAAAACCCTTTGATCTTTTGATCTTTTATTTTCATATTGGCCAAGCAAACAAAAATATTTTAACTTTAAATAAGTTGACACAATAAACTTCAATCAGGCCTATTTTATTGCTGCAAAGTTATAGGTAAGCCTAGTTTGAGTGATCAAATATATATTTTTTCAGAGGTTACTACGAGATGACCGTTTCCAATCCAACTTTGAACCCGAAGATGATTCATTGTGGCTGCCATCACAACTACTTCATGCGATATCATCCTTTCCCTCCCAGTCAGATGACACCCAAGTAGATATGTTGAAGGTAATTTGCAACGTTTAATGATTTATAACAAATTTCTAGGTCTGTAGTTGTACGTTTTCCTCCAGTTTTGATGGATGAAAATTCCTCCAGGTTTTTTGGACGTGCAATAACTTGGATGGTTTCAAAGTGTAGATTAGTCGTCCGCACTTAATTTGCTCGATGTCAGTCTCTATTCTGTAGATATGTTGTCCAATTGATTTTAATTGGTGAAGCCTCCTAAAAATATAATTGTGATGCCTATAGAAGAAAAACGTAATTCAATCTAGGCCTACTATGTTGTGATTAGCAAATTACTGGTGTGTTACTATAGTGTTAGCAAAACGGGAGTGCCGATAGAGACGAGGTCAAGTTCCTTCAAACCCACGCACCCCCACAGGTCTCCATTGGCACTCCTGTTTTGCTAACACTATAGACAGGTAGCCTAAGGTTTGGTTGTGATAGGCAGGCCTACATAGGTTCGTACACAGCTATAGAATTTTACATTTTGCTTAGAACAAGAAAAAAAAAATAGTTTTAAACCATAAGGTGATACATTTTTGCTGGGATTCTGATAATATAAATTACTAATAGGCTTTGTAAATTAAAAAAAGATTTCTTCTTACTTTCAATCGGTGACTTACTGTAAGTATACATTAAAAACCATATAAAATAATTTTGTGTAGGTCCTACTCAATGTGGCTTGTTCGTCATATTGGACCATGAACGGAAGAATTATCATCCAGATATTAACCTTGTGCAGTGAAGCCTACGAGTCCGGCAACCAAGCCATCAGAACAGCGGCTCAGGCAGCCACCAGCCAGACTTTGCGCTCCTTCTGTAACATGCTGGGTTTGTAGATTAAATATTGCTCTGTAACGTGCTATAACAAGGTTTGTACATTTTACATGATCCTATAACCATCAGGATTGTCTGTAAATTAAGGTCTCCTTCTGTCGTAGCCAAGCGAGCTAGATCAAATCTGAAACCATTGTCATGTTCTTTACTTTATCCACTACTGTTCTAGCCGACTCCCACCCTCTAGGGGGATATTAGTATCACCATAATATGAAAACACAGTGAATAAAACTAACACTTCTGCCAAGTATGAATCACGTTTTGTGATTTTGCCGAACACAAAAAATAGGCTGTAATAAAGGGAAGTTTAGATCCGTGAAGTTAGCCCCCCCCCATAAAAGCACTAACAATAAAACTAGTATTAATGGTTAGTGCTTCGTTAGTGCTGGTTAGTGCTTCAACTCCCATCGTTAGTGCTCTTACGGTTCAGGAGCTATAACCAAAAAACTGTGGGTGGGGCCAACTTCACGGAAGTTAGCCCCCCCCAGTAGTAATATGTGAGCACTAACTTTCTAAACTGTACCAACGGTTAGTGCTTCGTTAGTGCTGGTTAGTGCTTCAACTCCCATCGTTAGTGCTCTTACGGTTCAGGAGCTATGACCAAAAAAAAAAAAAAACACCAAACGAGCCTACAAAATTGGAGGAAATGTCCGCTTCCTCTCTGACTACTACATCTACTGTACAAGCATTGTGCGTATACTGTATGGCCGTCATTCATCTTTACGATTAAAGTGAAGTAGCCTAGATATATGAGTCACCCGTTCAAGACGGGCTAACACCTTCTGGATTGAAAACCATTAGCCAAACGCCACTGGGCCCTTGGAAGTAAATAGTAAATTCCAACTCCCACTAAGGCAGGCAGTTAAAACAATTTATTCTCAATAGTAGTCGTCTAGTCTTATTGATTATACTTTGCAGATGAAGAATCCCAAGAAACCATTCAAAGCTCGCAGCTCAGGGAGGTTGGAAGTGGAGGCATTGACTGCTTCAATGAAGTGATTCCTATCTTACAATTCATCTGCAGCAAACTCGACGAAGCCCAGAGGTAAATAAAGTATAGGCCTACTCAAAGTCATAGTTTACATTTTTGTCTCATTGAGCCCACCAGTTCAGCTTGTTTGCTGTCTCATGGTACAGCATTGGTTGTTGTCGCACATCCTATTTCATGCTACACGGTCATTGGTTTTATGATTTGTTGTGTTGGCAGCACTGACCGCAGCAGCCACAGTGTTGTGTTCCTACTAGAATGTCTACACACGTTGGTGTCCAGTCTACCTCAGAGTATCCACTCAAATCGTCACTTCACTGCGTTTCTCTGGCAGAAGCTATGTCCAGCCTTGATAGCGTTCCTGGGATCCCCTCGTGTCGACAAGAAGATAGTCTCACGCCAAGTAAGTAGAAGTTGTTAAAATGTGAGGGTTTGATTTACAGCTAAATTCAAATACTAGATCTTATTTATTGTTTCCTTGTTTGAAAATTAAATGGGTTAAATAAATCCTGGAGCAAAATAGCTGGAAGGTGGAAGATAAAATTAGTTTTTGTTTTTAGATCTCAATAAAAATAAAATGGTTATATTTAGTATGCTGTACATCCGATGAAATAATGAGACAATGTATCTGTGTGCAGGACCGGCCAGCCGGAGGGGAAGCTGAAGTAGGCAGAGGCTCTGGTGGTCTCCCGTCTGCTCCTAGTTTTGACACTTACCAAGCCAAGACAGTCTATAGGTAAGTTATGGGCCTACTACAACAAAGTCCTCATCTAATAAAAGTTGAAAATCATTGATGTTTCCTTACCTCATGTTTTTTCATTGTTTGTAAATACACTGTTTTTAAAAATTGATTCATATCCTTTTACAAACTTTAGAACCAAAATTATGTTTTGTGAAACCAACCATAATTTAATTTACCATTAGACGTCAATTAATAAGTCTTTTCTTATTGCCATAATACAAAGAGTACAGTAAGCCCCCCCCCCCTGCCCCCAAATAACTGACTAACATTAGATATCAAATCTAATTGTAGTTTCTTGATCCTAAGTTCCACACTAATTTTGTCAGTAGTATCCTTCAGGCCTACTGTTTCATAAAAAGGTTTGATTGCCAAAATGCTCTTAAGGGTTTTTTTTTCAGAAACTTGTTTTTACATGTACATTTAAATTTTATTGCCACAGAATTATTTACTGGTACACAGTCTGCAGCTTACAATAATGGTTTTGGTTTTGTTGGATACTTCAAAGTAATAATTTTGGACTGAAAATTCTGAGGGTAATAATTACCCTCAGAATTTTCATATTATTAATTATTTATAATATCTAACTTTAGTGTTGTGGTCAATATTCTACATTGTTCATCTCATCTATAGGTCGGCCGGTTAGAAAGCGACCTCCTCGTAGCATTGGTGCGAGAGAGAGATAATGAGCTGTGGGAGTGAGACAGACTATGGCTCTTCCCCCACTCCGCTGCCGCCCCGCCCCTTAAATATTAACAGCAATTAAATGATACAGCTGATCAAAATGTAATCAATTACATTCTTCATAACGTGAGAAAAATAGGTCCTACAAAAAATATTGTATAGCCTAAATCAAATCAAATCAAATCAAATATGCTTTATTCATAAAGTACAGTTTTGTACATTGAATGGCGTCAACTCAATCCATCTTAAATTAATAATTTACAAATTTGCATATCTTGGATCATTATGTACATTAAAAACCAAGAACCAGGAAATGAAAATAATCAAAACTGAATTAATTACTAACGCTAAGAGGGGAGGTGGAAAAATACTCTTCCAGGGAATCGAACGCTTTCTCTACTAAATAAAGTTTTTGTTTTCTCATGAAATTCTTCCTGCTTTGTTCATTTCTGATTTCATTAGGAAGATGCTTAAAAAATTTTAATCCTATATAGGATGGTTTTTTTCATAGAATTTTAATTTGTGTTTACTTGAAATAAGGAATTTTTTATGCCGAGTGTTGTATCGGTGACAATTTGTCTCAGAGGTGCTCAAGCAGTTTTTTGCTGGAATAATTGTGTCGTAAATAAATTGGCCATATACCGTTACCATTTTCAGTTCTTTGAATTTGTTTTTGGTTGTTTCGTTGTGTTTTAATTTTAAAATTATACTTATTGCTATTTTTTGAAGTTTAAGTATCCTATCCAAATTTGCTATTGTAGTTGAACCATGAAAGTACTAACCATAGGATAAATGCGAATGGACATTAGCATAATATATATTTTTTAATGTTTAATGGTTACAAAAATAAGACATTCTAGAGAGTGATTATAGTCCTGAACATAATTTTGAAAGGAGTTTGAGTTTATCAACATGTTCATCCCAGTTTAAATTTTGGTCCACAATTAGACCTAGAAACTGTGTACTATGTTTATGTTCAATTTCTTCTACATTATACATGATATTTGGTTTAATTAATTTTTTGTTTTTATTTGTTTTAAAAGTTAAAAAAATAGTTTTTTTGGGATTAAGCTTCAATTTATTTTGCTCTAGAAAGTTTCCAATGTTTGCCAATTCAACAAAACTTAAAATTTCAACTTGTTGCACTGACTCAGTCGAAACTTTTGAGATTTGTATCATCTGCATAAAAACAAAGATTGTTCTGAGGCAAACATGAGAGTGCACCGCAAAATCGCATCAATATTTGAGCATCATGAAATGTTATCATATCATTGTGTAAGCAGTTCCATTTGGTAACACAGGATTCCAACTCCCACGACACCGGGTGTCGGTGTCGTTTCATGCAGTGTGAAAACGGCCATTCCATTGGCGGAGAGGGGGAACATTCCCTTCCCTCGCCGTTGCCTCCCCTACATGCGCTAAAAATTTCACGCAGGTCGTTTTCTAAACGGCCGACCTATAGAATATCTTTTGCCTTAGGACAAGTTGTTGTTGCTAAACGACTCTTTTGACTGTCCAAGATAAATGATTGATATTTTCCCCCAGTATTGGCAGTCAGTTGGTGAGACTGGTAGGATGCGTAGGATCTCTGCGACCAGTTCTGGAGTCAGTCTACTACCGTATGCTGCTCTACCCTCCTCCTCAACATAGGCTAGAGGCACTCAAAGCCTTAAGAGAAGTGAGTGAGATTAGATTTTGTGTGTACTTGGTTCCAAGTAGTTTTAAATTCTTTTACATTTTGAAACACTGTAGTTTTTTGCACCTACACTTAATGGATTCAATATTCTCAGGGATTTTCTTCCACTCATCCCAGAGGTTTTCTTGAGTAGAAACCTTCAACAAGTTGGTAGATGATTCATGACATAACTTCATCACAGCAATAGTAATAGTTTGACTAAAAACCCAAAAATTTGTAAAGATCGGTACATCATTGTTTGCTTGCTAAAATTCATCCTTAACCTGAAAAATAATTGATTCCTAAGACCTATATAAAAATAATTTCAACGGTAAATTACCCGTTATATTTGATTTTATTCTTCTTAGTATATTCTTGTCGAGGCAGTAGGCTTTCTGCATTGGAATACTCCGTCAATGCACAAGAAACACAAAAATACCATAGGCCTACACAATAACTCTAGAGCAATAATTTCCTGTCGTTCAAGTGTGACTTGGGCAACAGAAAATAGAAAAGCATTCTATTATTGTGTTTGTGTAATGTTTTTTGGGTTTATTTTGCCACAATGTACTATCCCATAAAAAAAAAAAAAAAAAAAAACAAATTCAAGGGGTAATTCACATAATTGAGAGTGTGTTTGGGTAACAAAACAAACAAATCAGGCCATGACTCACCATCTACTGGCAAACTCCACCCACATGTATGCAATCAGTAATTAGTACCTATTACTTGACTAACATTTTTGCAAAAACATGTTTATTCTTCCTCGTGGTAAAATGTGATTTTGACACATCACTTAAATTAAGAGGATTATTCATAGCCTGGAGTTCAGTTTAAGAATGAATCAAAACCATTGGCGGTCATCACAGTCATGATCCAGGTATTTTAAGTTTTTATTATTTAAACAATAATTAATTGTTTGTTGTTTTGGCTGTCAGCTTCTCCGCAGCCCTAGCAGGATGGTGGACTTTGCTGGACCAATCTTGGTGGAGGATGAGAAGGGCTGTCAACAGAGTGATATGGCATTGACTAGACTGTGAGTAAGACTACCTGTAGTAGCTTATAGGCAGGGCCGTCCAAAGGGGGGGGGCAACCGGGGCAAGCTGCCCCGGGCGCCTTGGCTAAGGGGGCGCCGCGTAGCGGCTATTTGTATTAATATAGTATTAAAATATGCGAATGCGACTATTACTGCTTGGGGTGGGAGGGGGGGCAGGGGGCGCCACAACCACGTTTGCTCTGGGCGCCGCCAACCCTAGGGACGGCCCTGCTTATAGGTTCAGAAGGGGAATGTAGCACCTTAAAATTTGATAATAGAACAAAAGCTTATAGACACTTAAATGTGTGTAACAAAATGCTTGTGTATTGGTTGCAAATTGTAAAGTTTTACCTTCCAAAAACCTTAAATATCCACTGGCTTAATATTTTGAAAACATTCCTTTCAACTTTGATTAGACGTAGTAGAAAACCCCCTTGGAATGTTTGGGTGTTTGTTAATATGGTGATACTTAATGCTCCAACTTCTGTACACAATACTTGATTACCTCGTTGTACAGGTTCGAACTTGTGTAATTTATTAAGGAAGAATAAACTTTCTGTGCCCTACTCACCTTATTTTTGTTATTGTTTCATATTATTCCGTTCAAGTTAAAGAAAACTCCTTCATTCTTTATTTAACACGCTCGCTACCACAATATTATTACATTTTTCATTCATGTTGTCCAGGAAGGCATATATGCGATGTCCGGTTTCTACCTATAGACACATTATAGACTGACGTCGCATATTTGCATCGGTGTCCTATGTTATTAAAAAGCTTTAAGCTTATATCTTCGAAACAGTCTACTTGAAGGGGTCCTGAATTCTCTGCAGCGGTCTTCAGAGATGTCTGTCGCATATGTGCGTCAATTGGTCTGTGGATTTGATGATTAGTGACGTTTTATGATAGTTGGCAAAACAGATTTTTACTTTTCTGCATCACTGGCCTGTGGTCTACGTGTGCTGTGAACCAAGGGACACCCGGTCTAGATGTGTAATATTAAAATGCATACCTCGGTCCATGGCAATGACCATAGCGTCGCATATATGTGGCGATCGGTAGCGAACATGCTAAAAGTTAACTTTATGTTTGTAAGTGTTAAGGTTATTCAAGCACCACATCTCCAACATAAAAACCTAAAAATTGGAATTTAATTTCCATCATATGTAAAATTTAAGAAGTTTTTAATTTAAATAGAGTTCAAGCTAAAATGTAATAATTGCCTAGTAAATTATTGATTAGGCCTATATGGAATTACTAAACATAAAGCAATAAATTTTCCTTATGTAAAATTTTTTAAATGTAGGCTAATTTAAACTAAATAATTTAATGGAAAAATTGAAAATCAGATTAAAAAAAAAGTTTTTAACTGTATCGTCTATCCGTCTATAGTTTCACTCTCACATTCTGAATATCTAAATAGCAATGGTGGAATGCTCGCTTAACATTTCATTGGGTTTGAAAAGAGATCAAAATTTACTAAAGTCTGCTGAATCCGTCCTTTTCAATTAGCTGATTATGAGTCATTGGTGTTTTGTTTGGGATAACAATTGAAAATGCACAACAGTATTTTCAATCCGGCCGGTGTTTTTTGTTTATCTGCAGTGACCAATCCCGAATAATCTTTCTGTGGCCGGTCATTTGTTTAGAGAACTACAGTAGTGATAATGATTCCATTGTAGAATATTTCTTTTGTTACGTTTCAACTCTTTACACTTTAAGCCATGTAGGCTAGTAAAAAAATCTAAAAAATAATTTATTATATAAAAAATTTTGAACTAATTTTAAAAACAAGTATTTTAAAATTATGCATCCTAGTTATAGCCCAGGCAAATTAGATCAAATATATGGCGTGCTCCCCAAAAAATCGTCTAAAGCTGGAAAGTGTTTTAATACCTTTTGGGGGTCCCAAATAAGACTCCTGTGAGTTTGCGACGGATTCTGACGTCTGCTTAAGTTTTGGGAGTCGAAAAACTAAGAAAATTTTGCACTTTTTACAGTATTTCGCTTATAACTCCTAAATAACGAATCCTAAGGAAAATGTTGTTCAAAGGTGTCTTTTAGGGCATTTAATTTCGCGTCGATTGGTGTTAAATACGTCAAAATCGGCCGAGCCGTTTAGCCGCTGTAGCTTTTCAAATTTGGGATATTTTCATCACCATGGCCAAAAGGTTGATTATTGACCAGTTTTCGGCTTACAACTCCTAAACGACGTATGCTATACAAAAATGCACCTGTAGTTAGTTTGGAAAACACAAAATTCTGCGTATAATGTTTTTTTATTAATCAATATTGGTAATTGATTGTTACCTACTTTGTATGGTTGCCATTTCATTAAAAAAATCGTTAAAGTTAAAGTTGGGAAATTTTACTAAAATTGGTTACAACGTAGATCCTATCCTTAAATGGATTATGAATTATTAGATAGTGGTTTATTCCAGAGGTTTATCTAATAAGGTGTGAAGAGAGTAAGACCCCCTATGTTATTTTAAGTCTAATATTGATCTATCCCTGTGTTTTCATTTTTCAGTTTTTGGCTTACATCTTCTAATGCATGCTATAGGAAAAATGTACCTGTAGTTAGTTTGAAGAGCATAAACGTCTGCGTAGAATTTTTTCCAATTCATTAAGATCGGCTTCACCGTTTAACCGCTATTGATTGTTAACACTAGATCGGATGCTTGTCAAGTTTCCGAAGCTTAAAATCTTACCTTTGAAGTCTGGCAAACAACCAGCCTAATTACCAAAAACATAGGGGATATGGCAGTGAATCTATCAATGAATCTATCCACTAGTGTGACGTCATGGATCCTGCAGCATGACCTATTTTTCTAGTGGGGCCTTGTCTGAACACGTCCTTAACTAATTGCATTGACTATTGGATTCAGAAGAAGACATCCCATCTATATGGATCAGCTGTTGCCAATTTTTTACTAAAAACTAATGTAGTTGTGTGAGCCAATCACAGATTGCTCTAGTGTCTAAAACTCTATTTTGTACCTTGTTTTATTGTTTCTGACATAGTTACTGGGTCACAACAGTTGCTATAGCTCATAATAAGTCATTCCATCAGTTTGACTTGGTAAAAACCAACGTGTAATCGGCAGAAATCAGTAATTTATATCAGAGCAATCTGTATGTGGCTCACATCAACTAAGACAAATTTGATTAAAAACCTGACGACAACTTTAACATAGGGATGGAATGTCTAAAAACCACAATCACAAAATAAATGTACTATTCATTTTTATTTTTAGAGCAACACAGGTTTAAATATCAAGTCATAAAACTAAAATTTTGACAATAGTAAACAATGAAATTTATCATCTTACTGTGGAGAGCTTTTCCGAGATAGAGGAATCAATGATGGGGATCTAGCCCGGTGGTTCGCTGGCAGGCCCATCGCAGTGAATGCTACCATGCTACCCATCAAACTAAGGGATATTGTGGGATCACCTCTTCAACATATTATCAGCAAGTTGACAATATAAACTCCAGGGATACGGTGAGATCAATAAGAAATTCATAAAATGGTTCCAGTGTCACGACCCATTTACCGAAAATAGTTCACTCATGTCAATCAGCTCAGGAGTTATCCCATATGATAGCATCAACGCGAGATATATAATGATAGCATCAACGCGAGATATATAAAACATAATGAAAAGGCACAGCTTGCAAGAAAATCGTAAATAGGCAAGCCTATGATGACCATAAACTATGCAGAATAAAAGGAAGTGGTGGCCTCAATTACGAGCTGTGATGGCAACAGCAAAGATTAAAGAAAAATCTGCCCCCTCAGTCAGCACATGATATATTCCACATTAAAGCCAAGCCTCAATTTGAATCATACTTTGGATTAAAAATAGGTCCGTACCCACTAGCGCAGTTTGATGACGAAAGCGTGATGTAGAAGAGTCTAAAATCTAACTATTCATGTAGTCTAAAACTACTCATGCTGTTTACTCCAATCAATTTGGATCTCACTGCGTTCTGACTGGTTGCAACATTTGGCGAAGTTGCAGAAGCAGGTTTTGACCCTGTACAAAGCATTATGGTGGGAGCTGTAGGGTGGGAGCAGAAAATATCCAAATCAAGTGAGGGTTGGTCTCTTCTAGAGAACACTTTCAAAATCTAATTTTGACTTTAATTCTATCAAAAGGGGCTGCTCATCCACAAAATCCTTTAGAGCTTATTTAAAAGTGTACTTAATTCAGAGAGATATGTATAGAAAATTAACGCCAATGGATTAACTCCCATCACTACGGCTAATCCAGCGTTTCGACCAAAATTGCTCAACTCCGTCTACCTATCTCGAATATCGTGTACATGTAAAAAAAGGTTTACATTATCATGCTACTTTTGAAATGCAGGGATATAATGCACTACTGTCTGAAAGACTTGCAGAGGCACGATTATCTCAATTCGAAATGTGACGAAAAAGATGGTAGCGTATACCATATGTCACCATTTGTGGCAAGACAAAAGAGCAAGGAATGAATCCTTATTCTTAAGATTCCAATGATGAGAAGAAGAGAAGTTATATGGTGAAATCTACGAAAACTCCCGATCGGTTTTTTTTATAGGCTAAATACGTAATAAGACTATGTAAATATGTCCCATTATCATCTTTCGTTTATTAAGCTAAAAAATAACATTTTTCTACATTTAATAAAATCTTTCTGGTTGTAATATCTTTTTATATATTAGAATCGCTTAACATAATTTTGGAGTGTCCAGAGATGGGTTCGTATAAATGGTAGCTAAGGACGAATCCTGGAATTGTTTTAACCTCAGATAGCAATATTAGATTTTTAAATTACATAGGGGTCTTGCTACTCTTCCCTTCACACATTCTTGGATAAACCTCTGGATGATGATAACCATGAAATAAACTATCTAGTAATTCATAATCATAATTCTAAGCCGAATTTTGTGTTTTCCAAACTAACTACAGGTGCATTTTTGTACAGCATGCGTCGTTCAGGAGTTGTAAGCCGAAAACTGGTCAAATAATCAACCTTTTGGCCATGGTGATGAAAATATACCAAATTTGAAAAGCTACAGCGGCTAAACGGCTCGGCCGATTTTGACGTATTTAACACCAATCGGCGCGAAATTAAATGCCCTAAAAGACACATTTGAACAACATTTTCCTTAGGATTCGTTATTTAGGAGTTATAAGCGAAAAACTGTAAAAAGTGCAAAATTTTCATAGTTTTTCGACTCCCAAAACTTAAGCAGACGTCAGAATCCGTCGCAAACTCACAGGAGTCTTATTTGGGATCCCCAAAAGGTATTAAAACACTTTCCAGCTTTAGACGATTTTTTGGTGAGCATATGTCTAATTTGCCTGGGCTATTAATTAGGCTATTTCATTTGTTAGTGAAATGGACAAACTAAACGTTAATTATAGTAAAATAAAATGTTTCTCCTAAATATGGGACATAGCGCATTTAAGCTATATTTAACTTTTAAATTGACTACGTGTACAATAATTGATGCATTTTATTTTTATCATTAATTAATTAAGTGTTTCTTTCTTCTTTCTCTAAAATTTGAACCTCCAGACTGTTTGATTATAGTGTCCAGCAGATCCAGTGGTCAAAAATGAGGTTTAGATTATCACATAAACACTAGTGTAGTCCCTTATAGTCACTCATATCCCCCCCCCACCCACCCCCCTCCCCAAATATGACGGCCTACATCATACAACAGCTTTTTTATGTTCCCTGTCCCGCTCTAATGGTGTCATGGAAGAGACATCTTAACTCTTAAGTAATTAAAATTACAAAGATAATATGTTGAATTTCAAATTTTAGCACGTTTACTGCGGTTGTGTGATGGCTGGCCGGGTTCGGGAATAGCTAATGTGCTGTGTGAATGAATGAAAATGTGAATGTGTCCAAAAATGTTTAAATTTAGTTTCATCCAATAGGATAGGCATAATTATACAACACACTACCCTGGTTGTGGACACAGTTTTACAAGAAGAAGCCACTAAACAAAAGTGCTAACGGGGCCTCAGTACTGCCAAATGGAATGAAAAAAGGTGTTTAGTACAATTTTGAGGTTAGGTTCTTTCACAATACTACACTACACTGCAAACTACAATCATTTTTGTTATTCTCTGCAATGTCACTAAATATAAGCCAAAATCACACACTACACTGTTCAAAAAAGCACTGCACAGTAAGGTACAATAAAGGTCAATCTGAAAACAATTAGCACCTAAATGACGTACGAAACCAGCACTAAACACAGTGACAGTACAACATTTACCGCAGAATCCAGAAAAACAATTGAAAAAAAAGATAATTGTAGTGGATGAAATTGAGGCAATGTTAGTGAGGGAAGCGCATCGCTACATTTATACTTTATAGTAGGGCGCAATGCGCATGCCGTGCTAGTGCTCAGGTGCTACAACTATAGTAGCCCGCAGCAAACGTGTCAAGTAGCCTTATGTAATTTTCAAGACCTAGGTTTGATGGATCTCAGACTTGTTACTTCTTTAATCTTTTTACCAAGACTGACTTTTCTCATTCAGGTATGCCTGATGAAAATCCACAAACTAACCTCAGTAAGGTTTGGTAAATATTGTATCCAATTTTTTTTTCAAGTTGCTCCAAGATTTTCCTCTCTCCTTTTTATGGCTTATCTTACATCAGTGATAGATTATTATTACTATTTTCATAACTTACTGAGCTTCGTTAGATTATTTTATTTTAGCCGGTTTATTCTTAAGTTCATCAACCTTTACTCGTTTTCTCAGTTTATGGATTCATAATTCTGTTTCACCTTCCAAAACAATGTTATTATATAAGTTTATTTTTTACTTTACCATGCATCAAGAGTTAACACCATGTAGAGACAATTGAACATCAACATTGACACAATGTTGCAGAGTGATGGACTCCATAGAGGAGTGTAGCCAGTGCAGTGACCCGGCCATGGTGCACACCAGCGCCTCCTGTATAGTTGCTATGTTAGCTACACTGCAGGAGCTGTCCACTGGCAAGGGAGTCACCACCAAGTACATGGACAAGATCAACGCATTGTACCCAACACTCAGACATTGCGACTACAGAGGTTTGGCCAGACATTAGTCAGAGTGATGATATTGAATGATTGATGAGTGATGATGAGAATGATTGATATTGATAGAAAATATTCATATTGTAGATTTCCAAGAGTAATTGTTATGATGTTAATAATCAACAAAGTTAAGCTTGAAGAAGTCTGTAAAATCTGAGCTGATCTTATTTTAATTCAGCCTTACCATCTTTTAAGTGGAGCTCTCCAATTTTGACTTCTTACGAACATTAATCACATAATTAATTAATCTAACGAAATTCAAATATTTTTATGGTTTACTAAGATCATTTGGCCTAATTTAGAACAACAGTGGTCAAGTAAACGATCTTTAAGTTGTAATATTGCTAGTAACATTGGAGCTTGAAGATACAACTGAGAATTTGAGTGTTCTCTTAGACATTATGAATGCACTATGGTTTGAGTGTTGACAGCAAAAAATGATTGCAATTGTTAGACAAATTGCGATAACAACCCTCAATTGATTTGCTTAAATATCAGCTGAATTTTCAACAGTGTTTTCCATCAACGACACACATTATGTAACTATAATACTATATGAGATATTTCTATGACCGCAACATCTTCCAAAGATGTCACCTAGTGACACTACACCGCTAACCTTGGTTACAGGTGCCCTGACGTATGAGAGCATGGCCAGACTGCCCCACCTGTACCTGGAGAAGGAGATGAACAAAGACAACACAGCTGATGAGCAGAGTGACAGAGAGAGCAGTAGTAGCAGTGGACACTCGTCTGGGCCTACCGAGGGGCCGGAGGAAGACTATCAGATAGACTCTGATGTAATATGATTGTATAACTTTTAATTCAGGGATTTTAATTGTTTTCACCTTTTAAATTGATGGACCTGAACATTAATTTGGGTTTTATATTTCTGAACACAGCGTCACAGCATTATAGCTTAGGTAAAGGCCATAGAGGATTGACTGATAGTTGAACCTGACCCTCCAGAGCCAGAGCGGCCAGAGTCTAGGACTGCAACCTTTCAATTATATGCTTATATTGATCTTGTAGTTGGAATATTTTTTTATTTACCATCCTAATCAATCTAATTGTAAGTAGGCATTTATCTTAAGTTTTAAGTACGAGGGCTATCCAGAAAGTGACAGATGTTTTGGCTTGGCGAAGCAGTAGGCAGGGCTAATAACAGACCAGAGATTATTTTTTGAGCGACCTTCAAATAGGGGTTTGTGGAATCAGCTTGATTAATCCATGGTAATCGGTACATATTGGATTTATTATTTACCTTTCAGCATTCCACTTCATTCACAAGTTTGTGTACAAAGCTATTCAACATTGAACATTGGGGTTTCTATCAGCACTCAGTGGTCCTGTAGTTGTAGTGGATGTTTCAGATGGATGAGCTGGAAGCTGAGGCAGAGAGGAGAAGAGAGGAAAGAGAAGCGCAGAGGTTGGAGAAGCTACAAGAGGCAAAGACAATGCAAGATGAGGACACTCAGTTTTTGGTGAGCTGCTACTCTCAACAACACTGTGAAACTCGTTTCCCGTCCTAGAGTATGTTTGGATGTTTGGTAATATTAATAATGCTTTTGTAGTAAGTTAAAAAAAAAAATACAATAGGGAAATGGGTCATTCACTTTCAGGGATTAAATCTATTTACCTTGTTGTGTAGGACTCTCACTAAAAAATACCTATCAGTCAATAGAAGCTCTCTCGGAAACACTGTAACGGTACTTCAGGAGTATAGGCGACAGATTTTCATGATGGTCCATCGGTTTAGCTCTGCTGCACCACAGCTATTCAGTTCTATGTTTCATTTTCGTATGTGACATTAAATTTTACAAATAGTACTCACTAGTTTATTATAACATAAGAAACCATAGCCCGGTCAATTATTCTATCTGGTCGTAAACCTTCTACCTGTAAAGTTGGTTAGATAACTAAACATAATTAGTCAACATCAGCCCATTCCAATTGTTACCCGACATGAAACATCCGATAAATTGTGCTCAGTCAGTATTATAAATCTACAAAAATATATGATTACCTTGTGTAAGGACTTGGTCACTACATCTTAAGGAATTGTTCTAAAGATCTTGGATTCGAGTATTTTGGATATACAATTTGAAAACTTGACAAGGTTTAAATTACCGATTCAACCTTTTTTTTCAAACAATGGTTACATTTTATTTTAGTGTTTAGTCCTAATTACTGTAGCAAACTGTAGTACTATTCCAACTCAACTTTTAACAATTTCTCAGGTACTCCTAAAGAAGTAATTACTTAAAGAAAACAAAAATACACTTTTCATAATAGCAAGTGTTTTCTGAATTCACTTTTTATGTAGATGCCAGCAGAGTCAATGGATGGGGAGCGCCACAACGCCAGATACTTCATGAGTACCCTGGTCAACCTGGTTCCTTCCTTACTGCCTCTGAGGTCATCCATCCAGGTGGACGAAGCACTTCAGGAGTTTGCTTCTAAATATTGTCAAGGTTTGTTTTCAAGCTTGTGATACGTAACTGAGCTCTTAGGTTGATTGCATCACCTATTCACCCCTAACACTGTCAGGATTAGTAGTAATATTCAGGAATGAATCCAATTTGAAAATATTTTCCGTATGCTTTTTTCATATTTAAATGTAACTAATCTTGCAATCATCGAATCACCTGAGCGGTGTTTGTTAGTAATGTATGCAGTTGTACTAATTGTACTCTAAAGAATTTTGACAGATCTAATAAACATAAGAAATATCTTACCAAAAGTTCCTGTCCAGGATTTGTGAGAAGAACTGCCCAGGATATTTTTGTTAAGGTAATTTCAGTTCAACATGTCCCATGGAGAATCTGAACCTTAAACCTCATTATCTTACCTTGATGTGATCTTTTAAATTTACTTTTCCCAAGAGCAAAAGGTTTTGTCTGCCAATACTGCTTAGTGCTCTCTAAATGATTTGTTTTTGATTGTGATTCTTTGGTTGATATAATATTTTCTCTCGTGTCATTACGTTAATAAAAAGTCCAAAGGAAATGTGTGTTAAAATTACAACAAAATCATGTGTTCTGTTCTAGATGGAAAACGAGAACCTTACAAGGATAATATATGTTTTCTACTAAATGGATTGAACCTGTTTGGATTCATAGCTTTTTTAACCATCAATCAGTCTAGGTGTACCATTTTCTTAGCATTCACAACTACACCTAGCTGCTATGAAGGTGCTATGTTGTTTACTACTGGGCAATGACAGTTTTAACTTTTAAACTGGCGTGGCAGAAAAGAGATGTGATGAGCTTTACTTCAAAAAATTGAATAACTAACCGCAACACTTGACATCAACCATCTTACAGTGTCAGTTTTCAGCTACATAAGTGGTTTACGTCTAAATTTTTCAGAACAATACGCAAGAAAAGACTTTAATGGTACCATCATGAACGCTGATGGCATCTACCTCGCAACCTACGCCGCTCTTCTGCTTAACTTGAAGTTAATACAACAAGGATACTACGACAATGACACAAAGAACATTCCCTTGAATGAGGTGAGTCATTTAGAGTTCTATACTTTTGTTCACTGATTACATTTTTAAATCTATAGTAAGGACTAAGATGATTGCTATGAAAATATTCTGAATTAGCTGTTGTATCAACAACTCACTATTTACTAACACAATACTTCACACTATATAGAAGAACACTTACAATCTTTGACTATTGGTAGAACCAGACATTACATCCCCATGTATAAGTTATTGCCAGTTTTTTAGTTCAAAATTGTCCAACAGATTGCGCTGATGTAAATTGCCGATTTCTGTTGATTCTTTTAACAAAGTCAAACTAATAGGGTGACTTTTTGAAAGCTATAGCATTCTCTATATTGCCTAAACTATATCAGTTATAAAAAATAAGGTAGAAAATAGAATTTTAGACAGCAGCACAACCTGTGACTGGTTCATTCAAATTGATTAAATTAGACAAATTGGCAACATCTGCTACATATAGATTGAATGACTATTTCAGGATTCCAAAAGTCAATGCATACTGACTATTGGATAAATAGTCAAATATACAACATGAACAATTATGAAATTAGTAAATAAACCAATACTAAAACAGCTGTAATTTTTCTTTAAATTAATTCAATAACAACAAACTTTACACTCATACACTTAACACAAACACACAAGAACATATTATTATTTTTCAAGCAAGAAAATTACCTGTGAAAATCTTAACCCACGACATAGTAACAATATCATACAATGGATCATACAATCTACCCACTTTGTGCTTACTGCAAAGGACCCATACACGATGTCGTCGTAAACGCATTAGGGCAAACTTATCATGAGCATCACTTTTTGTGTGCTGAATGTGCAAATCCAATCAAAGGAGGAACATTTAAATTGCACAATAATCAACCATTCTGCATTGAAGACTATGATAAACTCTTTGCTAAAAGATGCACTGCCTGCCAGGGAATCATCAAAGATTTTGTTTTGACCGCCAATAATAAATCATACCACAGAAACTGTTTTGTTTGCACAAATTGCAAGATATCGCTTCATAAAGGGTTTTATGAAAAGGACGACAACCCTTACTGCCAAGATTGTGCAGTTTCTATGTTTAGTAATCACTGTAAGTTCTGCAACCTGCCTATTCAGGGATTGGCCTTGAACGTCATGGGGGGAAAATTCCACCCAAGTTGTTTCAGATGCCACAAATGTGAAGAGCCTATCAAAGGAGACACTTTCAAGTTGGAAAATGGCCAGCCTGTTTGTGTTGGCTGTTCTTCTTGATTATTAGACAGAAGCAAAAACAAATTTAACAGAAGAACATGGCAATAGTATGTAAATTTTAAAATTACAAATATTTCTATTATAAAACTGTTGTGCTTATTTGGAAGTAGCAGATCTATTTGCAGATTTATATGATTTTTCACATTTTGAATAGATTATAAATATATCAAAATATAACAAATGGCGTGTATATATTGAAGCCGTTCTGAGTAGCTTATAAAATATATTAAACTATTTTTATTTTAAAAATATTGTAACTTAGTGATTGTCACAGTTTCCAATGAACCATTTCTCAGATAGGTAAGCTATATTCAAAAATACATTAACGGGTTTTCTCATATTTACCTCCTCTACAAAGAAGTAAGATGAAGAGGAAACATGCTTATAGATCAACCGTGCCCTTTTAGCTCTGGAATGGTGGGGTGGAAATATACTAGTACCGAGCAAGGAAGAGCCCAACAGCTATTGTTTACAACAGCATTTGTAGCGCACAGGCTCTTCCTACAGCGTGAGAACTGTAGTACGTGATGGCGTGGGGGAAGAGAACGGAAGGGAATATGCACTAGACACGAGGGACTGTGTACCATTGAATGTATCCTCTGTATCTTAATTCTATGTGCCTTCTCACATTATAATGCTTAAGCTAATGCACAGTGGAATAACTTACCCTTTGCCATTGTAAGCTGGGGATGGATGTAGCCCAGGTGGTGGTTGGTGAGGCCTCTAACCTTACCTAATAAGGGATGGAGCTCCCTCTCCCACCCTCCTAAACAATCTTCTGCATGCCTACACCTTGGAAAGGATTAAATAGGATCCTTGTTTTTACCGTTTCCTCGTGGAGTGTCTCCGAAAGCTTAACAATGTTGTTGTTGAGTATTTTTGAGTTGTAACCTGACTTTGGTTCAAAGTTTCTTTTTCTAGCATTTCGGTTTAGTTTAAGTTTAACTGATAACTCGCTTAACAAAAACAAGAATCTATAATTTTGTAATTGTTTACCGATCAGACACAAAAAAGAGACAAAAGCCTGTTTTGTGTTGAATTGTGAGTTGTTGAAGTTAGCGCCAATTTTAGTGCAAACCTTGTTTGACATTAACATCAAGTTAATCATAACCCAACCTAACCTAACCTAACCTAACCAGCCTAAGGGAGAGAGAGTTGATGAAATTCAGTACACCACTACTAATTAAAGTTTTTAGTGTGTATAACAATTTTAAAAACTAACATAAGTAAAGCCTGACCTGAGTTAACCAACCTAATCGCATGTGCCTTGCTAGATGGAGTTTGTACAAGAAGTCCATGACAGCGGAGTGTTGGTCTACCTTAGTGCTACATGGCTGTCAGAGTTGTATCAGCTGGTACTCACTGTCTCTCCTCTACAGAACTACAGTCCAGAGAGTTCCGACACTCCGGCGCTTATAAACTTGTTAACAGGTTGATCCTACAGTCTGGTTGTCACTTTCTGTTCCGCTTATCCATATTGTTTTGCTTTTGTCATCCACAACATCTTCACTTTGTTTTTGGTTTGCTTTTGTTATCTGTAAAGACTCCACTTGTTTTGTTTTGCTTCTATCATCTGCAAAATCTCTCCACTTTTGTTTTTGTTTTGCTTCTGTCATCCTCAAAGCCTCTGCACATTGTTTTAGTTTTGCTTTTGTTGTTCCCAAAAATTTCCTCTTTTGTTTTAATTTAATTCAGATCCCACACTATACTCACTTATTCACTGGTAAGAATTTGTATCCCTCCACAGGTGATTTTGATTTTAAAACTTGAGATGATTCGTAGTATATGAGTGACTCATTTCTTGATAAGGAATACTTAGGCAACAAGTGTATGTATAAATGTATATATATACATACAGTGTAGATTAATGAGGTAAATATACCTGAAACAGTTACTAGCCTAAAAAAAGTACACAAAATAATAACAGAAAACAAAACACAGATCTGAACTCTAGCGGAATTTAGCGGCGCAAGAGGTCATACACAGTTTCGTTGTCTGTATTACACGACCTTTAACATTCCAACTGAGTGAAAGAATTAGTGGGGAAGTAGCTACAAAAAAAACTGGTTCTGGTCTTCAAGAACAATGAACTGACGTCCAACTGTGACACTGTTGGGAAAAAAGGTTTGTAAATTAATGGTTAAAACACAATAGACCTTGGTTGGTATCCTTTAGTCTAGGGTTTTATAGCCTGAAACTATTTTTACTTCTCAACCATAAACCTCCACAGATGCAATATGAATAGTTCCTTTTCTCTCAATCTGGTTGCCATAGACCAACTTTTTCTGTTGTGATTATGCCAAAGGCTAAGAGTTATCTTGACATGTTACAGACCTGGACGGCCTAGGCAGCAGTCAGCAAGGTGGACAAATGCTATCAGACTTCCAGAAGCTAGAGAGAGCAACAACGAGAGTGGAGGTCAGCCCAGAGGTTGAGGCAGGTGAGTCCACCAATGTGGGTGTAATTAATTGTACATATATCTAAACATTTGAATACCCAAAGATGCCATCTTGCAAATTAATTACAAAAAAAGGTTAAACTAGATGGTAAGCATCTATGTCCAAAGTAGACTATTGAAGCTTGAGTCATTGAGTTTGTAAAACACACGCTTTACAGGAAACCATCTTTCGACAAATCTATAATTCATGCTAAAAGAACGGAAACAGTTACTAAATAATGGTGTAAATACCTGCATCTATGTGATCAATGTGTTGCTAAAATGCAACCGTTTCGACTCACAAAGGAGTCATCGTCGGGCCAGTACAGATGTCTTCTTCAGGGGGCTAAAACTCAATATAATGGAGGAAACAGTTACATAGACACTGATAGAGAGATTCCACAATACAACTTGTGGTTTCAATTGAAAATGAATGGAAAAAATAATAAAAAGTATAAGTTAAGTTTTTTTACAAGCCTTGAAATAGTTCACTTTTGATTTTCTAACTAGACCTTGTATGCACATTAATCCATTCTTTTTGTACTGTAGTACTCTTAGACTTAAGTTTTCTTGCACGGGTATCTTATATCTGTATGTATCACATTTGTTCAGGTGTGAAGTTGTGTCGACGAGTTCTTACGTGCAGTTGGGACTCGATGTTGACTGTGTTGTCTGCACCGCTGAAGGAGCCCTCTCTGTCCACCAAGGGCTCTCGCAAGGTTTCTGCAATGCTGCTGCTCAGCAATGAAGCAGCCAAAGATGCGCTGCGTAGAGACGCAGTTGTCTGCAGCCTCGATGCGTTGCAGCGTGCGGCAACTCTCAGTAACGTTCTCGGTCAGTAATGGGGAATGTTGAATCAATTTTACCATTATGTACATATCTAAGAGTAAATATTACATTACTGGCAAACAGTTGCTCAAACAGTTGCGGCTTTTAACAGGAATGCAGAGCAGGTGTGGAGGGATATTCTCTCTACTGGCGTCTGCCTCATGTCCTGACGATGGTGATGTTACGCTGTTTCCCCAGCAGAGTTCTCCACTAGCTTTGGCTCTCTTGCAGAGACAAAAGAAGCTGCACGCCTCTCACGCTCTCAGCATGGACGTTATACTGTCCCGAGGTTTGGAGCTCGGCAGTCACGCTCCGGACTGCTGGAAGCATGTTTTCAGGTGATAGTAGGCTACTGTGTAACTCTTAGAGTTCTATGTTTGTTATGGTCTACTTACTTCTTGTGTAATGATCCTGGTGATTAATACCTTAACTTTCTTTAAATGAACTGCTTCTTTTGTATCTTCGACTAATTGATGGTATTCATCTCATTCCCACATGAAAGTTTTTGCTAGTTTTAGAATAAAGATGAACCTTTTGTTGAATTAATACACCGACAGAGTCATCAGCTATCAATTACTGTTTTTGGTAGAATACAGGATCTCAGGATCCCCTGCAGCATGTTGTCAATGATTTGTCTTATGTCCCAGATGCTGCCTCCATATTAGTCAGTTGGAACACAGATTCTTCTCCCAGTCCAGTCAGCCCCCTGGCCTCTCTATGACCAAGATGACCTCCAACGCCAAGCCTCCCTCCACTTCCAGCCTAGACAAGATGTCTGCCGCGGACAGACTCCAGTTCAGCTTCACTCCGGACGACGACGATGAAGTGTGGTGAGATCTTACCATGGTTTTCCTTGTTTTAGTTATAAACTCTCTGTTTAGCTCTAGTATTTTAGATTTTAGTTTTTTTAGTAAACAATTCCTATATTTTACATCAGTGTTAGTTTTAAGTATAACACAAAATTTAAAAAATGTTGATCAAAATTACCATACTATCTACTGAGTTGGGTCATTTGGCAGAAGTAGTATTTGTCAACCATAAGAACCCTGAGTTTAAACCTAAATCAAGATTTAATAATCCATCGAAACGATGCCTTGTAAAAATGTTGAAGCAATACCGTACAAGTGCAAAAAGGGAAATGTTAAGCTAAAGAAAACAGATTCGCTTTTTTTCAGGAGATTCATAGTTGTTGACCAGTTAATGTATTAGTTTTTCAATTACAAAAAATAAATATTTTCTAGCTTATGCTCTGTTGGTGATTCAAAATTTTGAGAAGTGTAATTTAGTTGGATTAGAAGGTAGGCAAACATGGGTAAAGTATCTTGGCTGTCGAATCTCGTTTTTCAGGAGATGATAGCATCGTTGGATACTGGTCAATTCATTTTAACTTTATGAAAAGTATAGTGACTCTTTTTCCAGTCAAATTCCATCTTGCCTCTTGAAGAGCTACACAACATTATTTATGCTTTTTTTACCCTCGAGTGCCTCAGCTATCTATTGCACCAGTCACAGCCATGCCTTGATCATTCCATGTCCTAAATTAAAAATAATTCGTACTAAGGTGGGTCTTTTTCATTAGAATCCGACCCTATTCCCAGGCATTTTGCTGGTGATTTGCGACATGGTGTTTTTAAGGGGCAGGTTGATTGCCTTCTGCTCAGCCCCCTTTGTCTGTCTCCAACCTCTCAAAGTCCTATCCACAAGGGAGGTCCTACTGGAGGTTATTAGAGCATAACAATTGCCATTGCAAGGTAAGGATACCATCAAGGGAATCTCCATGTCAATGAAGAAGACCCATAGGACTAAAAGAAGTAGTGGAAGTTAGTTAGTGAAGCCAAATACCTTCTTAGACACAAATTACCATAAGAGGAACTAGTGAGATACCTTCACTATGATGCTGGCTTCAACTTGTTTCTAGCTTTTAACTTTTATTCTTGTTTATGTACAGCTCGTGACATGTAGGCTGGCACTTGACCGATTGCTACTAAACTATTTAAAAAACATTAAGTGGCGTCACGCGGGTTGAGTTTTCTGTCCTTGCGATTGCGATCCATGGGAAGGCGCTCAAGTACACGAAACACGTAGCGTGCACCCCGTGAGTCAGGGGAAATGTTTGCAGTCCGGTCTTTTCATTACCTCCACCTTCCCTCCGCCTACACTGCCGGCGCAAGGCCCAAGTGCCAGCTTACATGAGCTAGCATGAGCTGTAGCTGTAGCAATATATTATTGTTCCTTCATTATAGTTTTTAGCTCCTGAATGCCCAAACAATATTATTATGGCACATTTACTCAACGGTTCTAAAGTACGTACAACAACAGGTAGTTTCAGCAACAAATTTGAAGTTGTTTTCAAGCTGTCATTAAACAGGGGAGAACGGCCGACAGGTAAACAAAGATTACCGAAAAAACACAACATAACACTAACAAACAATTTCATGGCAATTATTTTATTCATAGCAGATGCACAAATGTTTGATGAGTTCTATGACTTTGCAGGGTAGATGTATACAGTTTCTTGGCTACCAGCAACACAGCAATCACCACACAGACTGTAGCAGAGCTGATTTGTGAGAGCAAGGTAGACAGCACATCTCATGGCATTCTCAGTCAGGACTATGCAGCCAGGATCATATGTGTCCTCTCTCAGGCTGTGGACAAGTAAGTAAATTAAATAACGCCTACTTATAAACCTATTTTTTCAATATCTTTGCCTTTTTGTTATTTATTTTTGTAGCTGTTAGATGTTGCAAGCATGCGTGAGTAATAAGTAAATCATGCTTTGCTGAAATTACCGGGAAAAAATTAAAATCTTATAAAAAAATATAAAAATCTTTTTACATTATTAGGGATAGCCAATGAATGAATGAACTGTTAATTTATCAAAGCTGTGTAAAGACTAAATAATTATCAGACCTTTGGTCCGATCCTGCACTCACTGCTATTCAAACCTCCCTATGGGCAATCGAGTACCATGCGATTGTATGCTGTTTCTCCGTGTGGTGTGACTTTACATGAAGAAGCAAGAGAAAACTTTTATATTGTTTTAGCTTTAAGCTTTTAGCACTTGGTTAGTCAATTCCTCATACCTGCATATCTTTCTGCTCCCCCTCATGTCCTGGCTCTGTAAGTAAACCAAGAAGAGTGGCTGAGTGGACTAGCATCGCTTTATTACATACATCTTATATTTTAGATTAACAGCTGTGGTGTTATTCCTTTGTCAGTTTTATTTCTACATCTTACATTGGCGCTCCTCTTCGCAGTCGTGGAGACCGGAGAGTTGTCAATTTCTTGGAGGGGGTTTGTTGTATTTATGTGTGTGTGTTGAGTGTGTGTGTTTTATTTGTTTTAGAGGTGTGTTACATTGTTGTGGTCTTTGTAGGAATTCCTTCAAATTGTAGTATGGCCTGTTCAGGAGGTATTTTTTAAGGCTAGTGATGAATTTTTTTGTTTCGTTTATCGATTTTATGTTTTGAGGAAGAGAGTTATAGAGAGTTGTTCCCATGTATGTAGGGGTTTTACTTGTTCTGTGTAGTCTGCGTTGGTTTTGGTTGAGATTTGTAGCCACTATCTGCGATGATGGATTCAAAGTGGAAGTTAGGAGTTTTAATGGACGACCCTTTTCAATATTCCAACCTTGTTACGGCCCTTTCAAGTTGGATAATCAAGACTCTACTGTAAAATAAAAATAGAATTTTGTTTTTAAAGCTTTTTAATTCATTAAATTTACTCGTTTTCAGACTGTTTGAAGAAGCAGCACTAAAGCTGAATCTGCAGGCCCTGACGAGCTTCATGCAGGCGTTGTGTAAGGCATCTCAAGGCCAACTGTTCTCCCGCCACCCTCTAGCCCGTGTAGGGCCCCAGGGGCCCCGCAAGTGGTGGGCCCCAGTGCGGCTGCCTCGGCCGTGGGCCCCTCACGATGCAGACACCTCCCTGCTGCTCACACGAGTGGGGCAAGTCATGTTGAAGACTGTGCGTAGTGGCAGACCATTGGTTCACATCATGAGAGTCTGGTCCATGGTAGGACCTCACCTGATGGAGGTTTGTACATTGTCTTGACTTGGTTTATGTTTTAATTTAGTGTGATGATTCATGATGTAAGTAAGTAGCCTTTTCTGTATGCTACATCAACTAGAGTAGAATTAATTCTCTTAAAAATGAGTGTGAAAATACCTCACACAAAAGCCTGTTTTTCTGTCAAGATGTGGTTTACAAAATAGATTTTTCACTGACAGCAGAGGTCTAATAGTAGTCCTCGCTTTACACAATTTCACTCTGCTCTGCACATTGTTAGAAGCTATCTACCAAGTATAGTGAAGACTAAATTAGTTTTATTTCTCTTTTCTATAAAATCAGCCATCATTTTTAGTATCCCTTTCATTGAATAAGTAATATATATATTGTTTTATAGGATTTGGGTGTCAATTAGTTTAGTTTTGAGACTCAAAACAGTATTCAAATTGTTCACAAACCATCACCTTAAAAAATTAGCAAGACAAGAAAATAAATAAAAAATTATAGGTACAGAATCTTCCACAACCATGGATCGAAGTCTTGTTTTACCTAGGACAGATTAATTTAATATTGTCAATAAAGTTTTCCTCCAATCCAAAAACTAGTCAAGTAGTCAATGCCAATTTGTATATCATTGTTCAACTCACGTCTCCTCTGAGATCTTTATAATGTTCCTCTTATGTGTTAATTCCTTATCATATAACTTAGTTATCTTTTTCTCCAGGCTGCCTGTCACAAGGAGAGAGTGATATCCAAGATCGCAGTGTCTTCTATCCACGACACAGTCACAGCTCTTCTGAATGAGCAGAATGAGCTTCCATACTTCCACTTCAATGAAGCTCTCTTCAAACCATTTGAGAATCTCCTCTGCCTTGAGCTGTGTGACGCTGATGTTCAGGACCAGGTCAGTAGTAGTCGTATTAATCAACTGTTCTAGTTTTCACCACACTACACTGTTCTAATAGACATTCCAGGTATGAAATTAGTCCCTAAAACAGCTGTTTACTGCCTGCTTAATCAAATAGGGTTTTATTACGTGCTACTGTACCGTAGTTAATTTTTACCGGACTCCAGCTGATTTTAATTATTGGCAATAAGACAACGAATCAACGAAGTTATGAATAGTGAGTGATTGTTAAGTTATTTAGTCTGTGGGAATATTTAACATATTTGTACAGTCATTTTTATTTTTAGGTTAGTTTAGGCTTAGATTAGTATGTCAAAAAATATTGTACTCCATTGTATGGTTGTTTGTATATAGTAAAATATCGTGAGGTTGTTCCAAACATACTCGTCCGGTAAACATATATTTTCCGTACTGGTAATATAGTATACTATTAGATGTACTATGTGTAAATTTTGTGTTTGATGGTAACCTTTTAATTGCAGGAAAATGTAAATGAACCACTTGTCTGATGTATATTACATGTTTTCTTCATTAGAAACCGACACTAAGAAATGTAATACCATGGAGGTTCTGAAACCGAAGGTTCAGTTGCTGAAATGTTTCAAATAAAAGGTTTCGTTAGACTGCTTGGTTGAATTTTTTAGATGGATGAATACAGAAATTAATTTTGTCTACAGGGACTACACCTTAGTTTTTAGGACCGTTGTTGGGATAGCAGGCGTACCTAAAAAGAAAAGAGTTAACGCTCGCACAAGTAACTCAAAACTACACTACACAATTGATTAATTACCTCATTTTTAATATTTCACAGTTGCACCTTCCTTGTTCCTTCTAGACCATCCTAAAAAAATGCTTCTCTTCACTTTAATCTTTGAAGAATCCCTATATTTGGACGAAATATCAGGTTTTTCATGAATTTTTACTGTGTATCCGTTATCCCGTGGACTGTTAGTTTTCTCACGTAAGCCTCCTGAATTCTACCTAAAAAAAAACCCAACTTGGATTTTCCTAAAAACATAATGTTACCAATGGCAGATTGTAAGCTGCATCTGTGAGTTTGTGGAGGCCAACCAGAACGAGATCAGATCAGGCTGGAGGCCACTGTTTGGTGCGCTGCGTGTTGTCAGCAGCAGTCATCTCGGCTCTCTACTGGATGTGTTCAGAGTGTTCCTAGACACAAACAACACGCTGGTGTTCTCAAACGCTGCTGTAGACTGCATCCTGTGTCTGCTCAAACATGTCAAGGGCAATGGTGAGTATTACCTTCTAGACGTTCCATTCCCATATATCAAGTCTTTGCCCTTTAAAGTGGATGTGGTTGAATCGAGTCTCAAACAAATTTGGCTGATGTAAATTACTGATTTATGTAGGTCCTACTTGTAGTACCTCAGTTTCTAGAAGTCATGCACTGCTGTTGTACTTAGTAATGCAGGTTTCCCGTTTCTACTCATGCTTGCTAAACGACATCCGTACACATTTCCAGACAACATGTCAGATGAACTGTCAGAGGAAGGCTGTAAGGATGACAAGTCCCTGGAACTGTGTAAGGCAGCTCTTAAGTATCTGCACCAGTGTAGCGGCATTCTGGGCTCCATGTACAACATGCCTGCCTGCCCCATGTTCCACACATCTCACAGGTGGGTGGTGAATCTAGACACTAAAATGTTTAATCGTGAAATATCACAGTTGATTTTGATAGTTTGAAACTGTACCTGTTGTTGATCACTGGGCTTTTGAATTTGATGTAAGCTCCTGGCTAAAGTAACACCTGATCATAGTAAGTCATCAAACAGGGAAAGTGTTTAAGGGGTTTTGAGCAGAGTTTCTAGTCTCACAATTACCAAAAGTGTTAATAATGAAGTCTCCGCTGTGGCCAAAGATTTGGCTATTTTATTGGGTACACAGCTAAAGTCTTTCACCAGCGCTCCGCAATCTCAGAGGAAGCTCGTGATTTTATTTTGACCGAGGACAATGTTTATGAAATTGTCGTGGTTGCAGAAGTTGTTCAAAACTGATTGTGGTGCAAGGACTAGTTTTGTTTTAATCAATACTTTCCAAAAGAACGTGATTTTTACCAAACCCAATTTTTGCCGAGAACCAAAAAACAATATTTGTGGCCTGACCTGAAATAAAAAATCTGCTACTTAGATCACTTATTAATAAAAAATAAAATCAAATTATATTATCATATCTTGTTATCGGACTATAATAGTTGGTCTATAAATTCCCCAATCAGATCATAGAAAATAAAGGGTTGAGTTCATCAAGTTTAAGCAATCTCACATGTTTCTAAATGGCCTAAGCTTCAGTCCCTGAAAAATCTGAATAGAGGGTCATCTGTACAGCGTGCCACCTGGGGCTACATAGATTAGAAATAAGACTCTGAATCAAGGCATCTCACCCCATTCGAAACTTGTCCTTCTCTCGTACTCAAGTTAAAATATGTAAAATTATGTCTGCTATCCTCAATTCAACACATTAGCTATTCACAATTCCCTCTTTAAAAAATGATCCCCACTCGCAGGACCCAGATGACCCTGTCGCCGCAGAGAGTGGACCCGATCATCCCACAGATGGAGCTCATGAGGCTAGACCCCGAGGTGGAGGTCGGCCCTACGGGGGAGCTGAGCTACTCTGCCCTAAGTGTGGGGGGAGAGTGTCACGACGTGAGTGCCATGGACCGGCCCAGCGGAGTACTACGAGTGTGGGTGTTGCTGCTAGATGGACTGTGTGGAGCCACTGTGGCTGCTTGTCCTCAGTACCAGAGTCACATACTGGACACTCTGTTCACATTGCTGAGAGAACTGCTGGTACACCCTGGTAGGTACTGGTGATATGTTGTAGCTTTGACTGACAGTGAGTATCCAGGTGTTGCGAGTGTGGGTGTTGCTGCTAGATGGACTGTGTGGAGCCACTGTGGCTGCTTGTCCTCAGTACCAGAGTCACATACTGGACACTCTGTTCACACTGCTGAGAGAACTGCTGGTACACCCTGGTAGGTACTGGTGATATGTTGTAGCTTTGACTGACAGTGAGTATCCAGGTGTGTTGTGAGTGTGGGTGTTGCTGCTAGAGGGACTGTGGGGAGTCACTGTGGCTGCTTGTCCTCAGTACCAGAGTCACATACTGGACATTCTGTTCACACTGCTGAGAGAACTGCTGGTACACCCTGGTAGGTACTGGTGATATGTTGTAGCTTTGACTGACAGTGAGTATCCAGGTGTGTTGTGAGTGTGGGTGTTGCTGCTAGAGGGACTGTGTGGAGCCACTGTGGCTGCTTGCCCTCAGTACCAGAGTCACATACTGGACACTCTGTTCACACTGCTGAGAGAACTGCTGGTACACCCTGGTAGGTACTGGTGATATGTTGTAGCTTTGACTGACAGTGAGTATCCAGGTGTATTGTGAGTGTGGGTGTTGCTGCTAGAGGGACTGTGTGGAGCCACTGTGGCTGCTTGTCCTCAGTACCAGAGTCACATACTGGACACTCTGTTCACACTGCTGAGAGAACTGCTGGTACACCCTGGTAGGTACTGGTGATATGTTGTAGCTTTGACTGACAGTGAGTATCCAGGTGTGTTGTGAGTGTGGGTGTTGCTGCTAGATGGACTGTGTGGAGCCACTGTGGCTGCTTGTCCTCAGTACCAGAGTCACATACTGGACACTCTGTTCACACTGTTGAGAGAACTGCTGGTACATCCTGGTAGGTACTGGTGATATGTTGTAGCTTTGACTGACAGTGAGTATCCAGGTGTGTTGTGAGTGTGGGTGTTGCTGCTAGAGGGACTGTGGGGAGCCACTGTGGCTGCTTGCCCTCAGTACCAGAGTCACATACTGGACACTCTGTTCACACTGCTGAGAGAACTGCTGGTACACCCTGGTAGGTATTGGTGATATGTTGTAGCTTTGACTGACAGTGAGTATCCAGGTGTGTTGTGAGTGTGGGTGTTGCTGCTAGATGGACTGTGTGGAGCCACTGTGGCTGCTTGTCCTCAGTACCAGAGTCACATACTGGACACTCTGTTCACACTGCTGAGAGATCTGCTGGTACACCCTAGTAGGTACTGGTGATATGTTGTAGCTTTGACTGACAGTGAGTATCCAGGTGTGTTGTGAGTGTGGGTGTTGCTGCTAGATGGACTGTGTGGAGCCACTGTGGCTGCTTGTCCTCAGTACCAGAGTCACATACGGGACACTCTGTTCACACTGCTGAGAGAACTGCTGGTACATCCTGGTAGGTACTGGTGATATGTTGTAGCTTTGACTGACAGTGAGTATCCAGGTGTGTTGTGAGTGTGGGTGTTGCTGCTAGAGGGACTGTGTAGAGCCACTGTGGCTGCTTGTCCTCAGTACCAGAGTCACATACTGGACACTCTGTTCACACTGCTGAGAGAACTGCTGGTACACCCTGGTAGGTACTGGTGATATGTTGTAGCTTTGACTGACAGTGAGTATCCAGGTGTGTTGTGAGTGTGGGTGTTGCTGCTAGAGGGACTGTGTGGAGCCACTGTGGCTGCTTGCCCTCAGTACCAGAGTCACATACTGGACACTCTGTTCACACTGCTGAGAGAACTGCTGGTACACCCTAGTAGGTACTGGTGATATGTTGTAGCTTTGACTGACAGTGAGTATCCAGGTGTGTTGTGAGTGTGGGTGTTGCTGCTAGAGGGACTGTGTAGAACCACTGTGGCTGCTTGTCCTCAGTACCAGAGTCACATACTGGACACTCTGTTCACACTGCTGAGAGAACTGCTGGTACACCCTGGTAGGTACTGGTGATATGTTGTAGCTTTGACTGACAGTGAGTATCCAGGTGTGTTGTGAGTGTGGGTGTTGCTGCTAGAGGGACTGTGTAGAGCCACTGTGGCTGCTTGTCCTCAGTACCAGAGTCACATACTGGACACTCTGTTCACACTGCTGAGAGAACTGCTGGTACACCCTGGTAGGTACTGGTGATATGTTGTAGCTTTGACTGACAGTGAGTATCCAGGTGTGTTGTGAGTGTGGGTGTTGCTGCTAGAGGGACTGTGTAGAACCACTGTGGCTGCTTGTCCTCAGTACCAGAGTCACATATTGGACATTCTGTTCACACTGCTGAGAGAACTGCTGGTACACCCTGGTAGGTACTGGTGATATGTTGTAGCTTTGACTGACAGTGAGTATCCAGGTGTGTTGTGAGTGTGGGTGTTGCTGCTAGAGGGACTGTGGGGAGCCACTCTGGCTGCTTGCCCTCAGTACCAGAGTCACATACTGGACACTCTGTTCACACTGCTGAGAGAACTGCTGGTACACCCTAGTAGGTACTGGTGATATGTTGTAGCTTTGACTGACAGTGAGTATCCAGGTGTGTTGTGAGTGTGGGTGTTGCTGCTAGAAGGACTGTGTGGAGCCACTGTGGCTGCTTGTCCTCAGTACCAGAGTCACATACTGGACACTCTGTTCACACTGCTGAGAGAACTGCTGGTACACCCTGGTAGGTACTGGTGATATGTTGTAGCTTTGACTGACAGTGAGTATCCAGGTGTGTTGTGAGTGTGGGTGTTGCTGCTAGAGGGACTGTGTGGAGCCACTGTGGCTGCTTGTCCTCAGTACCAGAGTCACATACTGGACACTCTGTTCACACTGCTGAGAGAACTGCTGGTACACCCTAGTAGGTACTGGTGATATGTTGTAGCTTTGACTGACAGTGAGTATCCAGGTGTGTTGTGAGTATGGATGTTGCTGCTAGATGGACTGTGTGGAGCCACTGTGGCTGCTTGTCCTCAGTACCAGAGTCACATACTGGACACTCTGTTCACACTGCTGATAGAACTGCTGGTACACCCGGGTAGGTACTGGTGATATGTTGTCCTTTTTACTGCCATAAGTAGTAAGAGGCTATAAGTAGTAGGGAAATGTCAAGAACACTGCGAGAAATTCCACCTAAGGCCTTCAAGGTCAAACAAAGTCACACCCACAAATTCATGTGCTAAAACTACCCTAAAATGAACTATGAATTTCTTAACCACCTAAGCAAGTATTGTAGTACAAAAGTAGCTAAGAGAGATACTTTCCCTGAAAGATGAGGTTGCATTTTAGTTTTTTTGTCTAGGTGGCTGAATGGTTATAGTGCTTGCCTCAAAAACTGGAGGTTGCAAGTTTTATCCCAAGCAAGATAGACTGTAGACCCAAATGCCATTTATTTATCAGCTATCAAATAATAAAGGTACCAAAAGGTTTACAGTTTAGATGGACAAAAACTCATTAAAAATATTAAATATTCTAATGGCATAAAAAAGCATAAAAAACATCTTTTTGTGATAAGTGTATAATAATTACACAATCAAAAATACTACTCCCTTTTTCACTCGGGGAAGTTTTTCCAAGCAAACAGCACTTACTTCTCTATATTCTATTACCATATACTCTAATGTAAATTATGCAATCAATGAATTTATCCACTAGTTAATAACTATTGTGTTTCTCTTTCTCTCTAGGTTTTGAGTTTGGACTGTATTGCATCAACCATCTGCTGTTGCCGATGGTACAGAACTGGCTACGCAAGACCAGTAGACAGTTCCGGGGATGGGATATCTACAGTGGCAACTTCAAGCAATGCTGCGGCCTAACTACTGACTTGGTGGTCAAATACCTCATCCACCTACATGGTGAGTGAATCAGTACTTACTGGGTATTCAAGTGCTCATTTTTGGTTGAATCCTTTTTTTTTGTAAAGTAATAAAAGTTTAACAAAAACCCTTCAGATTGGTTAATAGGAGAAAACAAGGTTGTTAGAGTTTGGAATGGAGTTAGAGTTGGAGTTTGGAATGGGAAGATCAGAAGAGTTGTCTTGAGAGGGAGAGAGTAGAAAAAGCAAGTCTAAAAAGTGAACTCTGAGGAATGTGAAAGTGATAGTGAAAAGGTTGACCAGAGGAAGATCTAAAGGAAGTGGATAAATGAGGTGAATAGTATGAGAAGAATAGACGAGTGGGATGGCAGATAGTGTATGAGGGGTTTAGTAGTTTAACGATTTTGTCAAGTTTTAGTAAAGTAAAACCAAAATGAAAACAATGTGGGACTTTTCTTACAAAGATTCTCTAACAGAATTATTTCAGAAAGGCCGAACAAAACAGATTTCAGGAACAGATCAGCTAAAACTTCCATGTGCGCAACCAGAACTGGTTGGGTATAAGCGAAAGGGTTGGAGGAGATACTTTTTTTAAAACATCCGTGCCTTCACCTTGCTACCCTGCATGACTTACTCACCCTAGCACTGCCAATTTTACTGGTAGTGGTACCCCTATGTTTTCACTGTTTTCAGTTTGGCTAGCAGCAAACCATTTGCGGGCACAGAAGTTTTGGCCAATCTAAAATCATAAACATTTTCCCTATATATGAATCAAATAAGTAGAGCATTGAGACAATTTTTCTTTTCTTCATTGCAGAAGCAGACAAGAGCGAGTATGGCAATTTGATGCTGAAGCAACTTGTCTTGTTGATGGTGGAGTGTGTAGTACAACCTGTGGAAAGTATAGCAAGACTCGGCTGTGCCTGTCTAAGGTAAACATTACTTTATGGTTCATAAATAATTTCACTTTTTGTAAAATATTTTCATACAGATTGACGCTTTTGAATTTGTCTGATAGATCTTTCTGTTGAATGGAAGATGTGTGAAGAACAGGTAAAGTTAATTTAGATTGAACTCGTGTTATTGTTGTTTAATGGATTATTGCAGACATTTTCTATCAATTTTTTGTCCTAGGATGCTAGGCACAAGTCTGGAATTGGTTTTTACATTACTTCAGGCTAGACCTAGGGGTTACGGCATTATCACTTAGATAAAATCCATTGGTGATTTGGCAGGATTTGAACCCGGGACCTCAGGAACCGGAGTCCCACGCTCTAACCACTAGACCAGCTCGCTCCCCCTATCAATGATTGGTAATACGTTAAAAAAAAGTTGCAGAACGTTCCAGAATCTGATTGCCCCTATAGATGGGAAGGGTTGGACACAGTGAGTTTGTTGACAAACCGGGAAATGCTGGAAAACACAGGATGTGAAAACAACTAATGCTTAGAGCAGGCAAATTAAAAAAAGAAGATAAGAAAAAAGTAGAAAAGCCTCATCAAACCACCTTTTTTCTAGTGTTATAAGTATCTGGTCTCCTCCATCTAGGACTTATTTAATTATGTTATCCATCCGTTTATCTGAGAGCCCAGGTTATTTTAACCATAAGCTATCTTAGCTCTTTTATCCACTTGTTTATGGTTTTTACTTCCTCTACATTAACGTGTTTATCAAGTTTTTTTTTCTAGTGTTCTGAAAGGAGACAGGAACTTTATGTATTTAATGACCATCAAGAATTGAATTCATTCTTGCACCTGAATCATCCAACTACTGTTTTGCATATCATTGCTGCATGTGTCCACCAAAAACTGATAAGATTGGGTTGATTTAGTTAATGAATATCCCTATGTCTTGTAGGGTTAAAGACAAGCAATTGTTAGTTTTTATTCTCAAACCCCTATTGAACAGTTGAGAGCTTTTCCTGTTCAGCCATTTTAAATATTATAACCTTTGTCTATAATTCAATCTCTGTTGTCTCTTGTTGTAATAAAACTTTGAATCCTTGTATTAAAACGATATTACGCATCCAAAATAAATGGAAATCTTAAAACGTTTGAAATTGATCACACAACAAGCTACGATGGTTTTTCCACATATCCAGTCATAAGTATCAAGCTCCATTTCAGGAGCAGGTATGAAATAAAAACATGGGTGATAAAATATGCATGAAATGCTGGTAGAAGTTGATATACTGGTCGGGCAAGAAGGCGAGCAGACTGCACGAGTGGTGTCCCTTACTGTCATTTGATCTCAACAAAACAATGTGTATTCTACCTTTGATAGGCGGACATTTGAGACAAATTTATATATCTTGTGTAACACGGCCATATCTCTTACACTATGACATACTTCAACTTCCTTGCGTTTAAGGTCATCTTCTTAGGCTGTTGAGAGATAGTTTTGGGTGTAGTCTTTGAGATACTTCATGTTGTATTTTCATAAGTTTTAAAATAAACCAGCATAGTAATATGTGCTTCTGTCCAAATTATATGTTGTGAAAACTTTTTCAAGAAAAAAAAAACTTGTAGGGAATTTAGATTTTCATTTTGTAGGCTATATGAATGTTTTCATTTTACTTACAATCCATAAATTTGAAGACCTAAAACCAGAATTTACGCATAGCCTATTTAGATATTTTTATCAGAATTATTTTTAACTTTAGGTTTGGATTTAGTTTCTATCTCTTTCTGAAAAAATCTCTTATTTGGCTATCTGTTATGTTTTTCTTTAAACTGTTTAACCGCAAACACTATGTTTGTAGCTAAACCCTAGTTTAGTCATTTTATGAAGAACTGGTCCATAAGAATATATGTAAATAATCCTAAGGTTTAAACTATACCCCTGTTATAGAAAATTAAACACATTTGCAGTTGATTTGCTTTTAAGAGTTTCATGCACTAATCTTTATACCGGTCATTTTTCAATATTGTGAGCTGTATGCAATTTTACGTACGAATAATAGCACCTCAATTGCACAAAACACATTTTGAAATCCGTTTTTTATATCCCTCCGCCGATGAACGACTCCACCTAAGAGAAAAACTTAGTATGACACTTTTTAAGAAATATTGTTTCCCAATTTATTCCTACTTGGATGTTAAATCTACTGGCCAGGCATGGTCAACCAAATTTAAGTCATCCATTTGTTTAGACTGTTTAGAGACACACTTAAATTCTATCAGTAATATAATGGTTTCTATAACATCATTTTACACTATTTTGATTTTACATTATTTTTGTTATTTTTTTGTCTTGAAAAAAAAAAACACATTTTGATTAAAACAAGATACTCTACTCTGGTGTACAACCAAGTTTTAAGTTTGAATTTTTGTTTCTATTGGACTCGTAAATGTGTGAATGATGAGCACACTATTTATAGCTTTTTTCTAACTACTGTACTCAAATTTAAAAAAAAAAATTCACCAGTTGCAGTTGCAGTTGCAGTTGGTTTAATTATGCAACTTTTCCACAAATACTTTGGATTTATATTCTATTGTTTGTACTCGCAAAGCCCTTCATGAGTGGAATGCATATAATTAATATCTATATAGCTTGCATCTCGGCCTGGGTCAGACTGACATATCAACTTGCAAGCTTGGAGTTAATATTTCAACAGCTGGTCATCAACTGGCCACTCTAAGACCGTTGTGGCTACTTAATATAATTAACGCTGGCTGATGCTATTGTTAGTTTATGTATTCCCCTGGTCCTATTAGGTACCACTCACTAATACATTACTTATAGTTTAAGAGATGTGCTTTACATTTAGTTGTACATAAAATGGCATTTAAATTTGTTTTGTAACCAAGACTTTTTCCAATAAAATATAACTTGAATATACATTATCTAATCCACTTAAATGTAGATCAACTTAAATTTAAAATATCAAATAACAAACGTAATAAAATCAAAGGGAGTTAATTTATTGGTTAAGTTAATTTCTATAAAAATATCCTGAGAGTTTTGTACAAACTAAATAAGGCTCAAACATATGAGAAGTGTGAAGTGTGGCAAGATGGCATACAATCTTGTTTTGTGTGTGAGTAAATGTGCGTGAGACCAAAAACAAACAAAACATATTTCATTTTTTCTTAAGGTATACATTTTTTTTATTTTGCAGTTGCAAGTACACTAAGTTCCATGTTTATGGCCAGTGGATTACTATTTATTTATTTTTATTTTTTTTATTTATTTTTTGTTTTTTAAGAGGTAGGCGGCCTCTTTTAACCATGCATTTGCCCGTCCACATAGACTACAGATCTGTGTGTGGAACGTATTTAAGGACTAATAACCATGCACAATATGACCTCGTCATGTAATCCGAATTCGGATTAAATGACAAGGTAAATTGTAGTATAATTATTAGTCAGTAATTATTCAAGTAGGTTTGTTTCAGTTTAGGTACCAATAGTATGCATTATGTTCCGACTGTCAGTTCTGAGTATAAGATAACTGGTATCGTAACAGTGATATTCCAAACCTTTGGAAATCCTAAGAAAACATTTGAAAAGCTAGAAACTTAAACAAAAGATCATGTAAAAAAAAATCATAGACCACTGTAGTAGAATCAGTCTTGAAAAGTTGACAAACAAATTTAAATTCTAAGGTCTGATTTAAATCAACCGTGTAATTATTTTTCAATATCTGCCCATCTCTTTTCCAAAAGCCAGGTTTTCCACAACAGCTGATTCAGGGGCAGTAGTTGTTGAAAGAGGACACCCCAGAACGGCCAATGAGAAGTGACAGCTGTCACATTTCATTAGCCCAAGACTGGGTCTGACCGGGTATCGCTTTCCCGTTGAACCAGAAGCAACTACTTGGTCCCCTCCGTCACTGGGGCCTTCCATTAACAACCATGTACGGCCTTCGGTCCATATCAGGCTGCTTGGCTTCAATGAGTTCCACGGTGTTGATAATTAAAATGGAGTTGTCTGGTTGTAGCGTTTGTTTTACGTCTTAAATTGTTAAGTTTGAACACACTCTGAGAGATTGAATCGCTGAAAGCATACAATATCTGGTATTGCCTTCAGAGAAAAAAGTACTTAAACCATAACAGACAACATATAATATAATAACAGATTCCTTGTCCAAAATGTTGCTAAAGTTTTTTTACAGATTGTGATAGGAAATTAGATAACCACAATAATCCCTCAATTAACTTAAATTAATTAACTAGAAACAAATCAGTCAAAACATTGCAAATAATTTTCTTAATGTATTCCACAAGACAAAGACAAACAGGCTGTAAACTGTTCAGCCCAACAACTTGTAGAGCTGAAAATTAGACTCATTGCTAAACGAGATAAATTAGTTAACGCATCAGGTATTGTAAGAAAAATGTTAACCGTACCGATGTATAATGAACCAAATTGATCATTCTAAATCTAACCGTTTAAACATTGGATTTTGTTGGCAAGAATTGAATACTTTCAGTTTTTATGAGCATTACTAACTACAGTAGACCCCCTCTTAACCGACCTCGTATTAACCGATAATCGGATTATCCGCCTTCGATCGTAAAATAATACAGTTTGTTTTAACCGACTTTGCTTTGAGAGCAGCTCGGTTTAACCGCCGCTTTCTAGGAATCTTGGCATTTCCGCTCCCACGCTGGGCGATGAGAACTGAACCATACGCTTATCTCCACAGGATATGACTAACAATAAGTTATTTTGTGTTGATCACAAAAGATATAGCATAGCCTATTGTCAGTTTGTCATCATCGTTCGTAGCTCGAGCACATCTGATCTGATTTGTTATCTGTGCGGCAAACTTATAACATCATAAACTGCGTTACGATTTTGAGAACTGATTATCTTATCGCTGGAGTAAACAAACAATGCAACTTGTAGGGAAGGCAGGGAAGGGGGGTTAACAACTCCAAGGTCAAGATAGTTTTTGTGCTTGAGCCTCCAGTGAGAGGCTATAAATAAACGTCCTGTCTTGTAACAAAATGGTCGCTTGTATCTTTAATGTCGACAAAAGGTTCTGTACTGTATTACGATGTATTTAGAAAGCATCAATTAATACATTACAGTACTAAAGTTATTAAAATAGGAATTTTATTGACTCTTGCCTAGTATTATAATATATTCCACTGAAAGTAGGCCTATTTGACTTAACCGTGCTTTGTGTTTATTTGTGACTTTTCTATAAAACGAAAAAGGAGATAAGAGTAGTTTATTTTATAAATAATGCAAGTATGATTTCAAAATAATGATTATATAATTCCAAATGAATAGCACTTCATTATGTTATGATTTTAGGGATTGCCCGTTTTATCCGACCTTTTGAGTTATCCGACCTAGGTTCGGTCCCATTAGGGTCGGTTAAGAGGGGGTCTACTGTACCAACAAACTTATTTGTTTGAAGTTCATTTTTGGTGGGGTGACATTTGAAGAATTATTTTCTTGAAACACTAATGGTATGGGGATTTCCCTTTCTTGCCTAAGAACAAGATCAGATATCAGATCCCAAAACACTCAAACAAAACATTTTTCCTACCACTGCATGGAAATGATCACATTTCCACACCTGTAAACAGTACACAAAATAGCTCATATGCACTTTATTCATTCCCGCTCGCAAAATCAGCTGATTTTACTTTTGGCATTTCTATAAAACAATAACATCCACCAAGCAAATAACATAACCTAAATACCCCCCGCTGCAGCAAACCTGCAGACTAAGCGAATTTCCATTTGACTGATTGGATTTACACTGAAATGTGTACTTAAAAATATAAAATTTATTCCCTATTTAAATAGAATTAGTTTAACAAGTACTTAGGTTTGCTGCATCAGGGAGGGTAAAACTGTTTTTTTTTTTGTAAAATGTTAATAGTTAGTAAGAAATAAAAACATTTTCCAAATTTGATCAAAATATGTTCATAAACAAGCAAACTACAACAGTTGACTTATTCTCCATAAGAATAACATGGGAATTTTAAATTTACAATTTTTGGAATTTTCTCCGTAACCATTAGGCACATAATAACACTTCAATATACTAAATTATTTGTTTTTTAGAGCTCTACAAAATGGTTTGGAAAGAAAATGCTAAATTTTATGTTTTTTTGGTCAAAAATGGGAAAAACCTATTTTTACCCCATAAAACCCCCCGTAAACCCCTGTTCCCATGGTCCAATCATGCTGGATCGCGAACTCGTTCGAATAAACGTAGGTTTACACGTTCGTACCAAATTTCATCAAAATCGGATCATTTTTGCTCGAGTTATCGTGCTAACGGACACACATATATATATATATATATATATATATAAATATATAAATATATATATCCCGCGTCCAGGTCTTACCATGAGTACTACGGTAATAGCTTATTCCCTATATGGGAAATTCGCTAAAAAGCTAACATAACCTATTTATACGCAACTAAAAAGTTAATCTGTGTATCATGATAAGTTAATTATGGTGGTAGAAAAAAATAGTTAATTATGAGCATAAACAGTCATTGCCGCTCTCAAAATGTATGGCCACACTCAGCTCAACCTTCAAGTAGCCTACAGTTCTCAAGTGGCAGTGATGTTATACTCCCTAAGACATTCTACCAATAGTCTGTGGGTTTTAATCGATTGTATATAATTTGACACCTTTTGGAAATTTATTAATTACCTCGGAGACAACCTTATGCTGAGATCATTTATGTAGCCTACATGCACTCAAAACTAAATTTAAGAAAAATGTTTTTCTTTGATGACACTTCAGATCTTTAAGTAGTGTAAATAAATCATAGTTTCTTGCTGCAAATTTTAAATTCATTATCCTTTAGTGGTAGTCAGGTAGTGTGCATAAATCCCAATCATTTTAATGATATTGCTATTTATTCACATGAACTCAAATTCAAAACATGTTCTAACAAAATAACTTCTTTCTTCAAAAATAAAATACTTTAAATAACAGTTGGCTATATACTACTCCAAAACAAAATTAATGGGCGGATCTTACTTTTACAAAACTGCAATTCAATTACTGGTTAGGCAGACCTGGGCTGTTCTTACTGCTACTCATACTAATTAACACCTCGATATGGCAGTACATAATGCAATTATTACACCTTGAATCTTGTCTGAAACATTACCCAATATACAAATAAAATGTATTCTATACAAGCTCTAGCCTGAAAATATCACATGACTACTAAATATTGACTCTTTAAACATTATTAAACATAAGTAAAACATTATTTGTTTGTAATACATTAAGACATCAAGTAATTACACGTGATTCAAGAATTAATATAGCCACTTATTTAAATATTTCTCAAAAAGATAAAATAAGCAAAATTTAGAGTAAAATCACATGAGGACTCAACTGGTTATTACGTTATAACCCATTCATTGATAACTAAAACTAAAATCTTTCTTTGACAGAACATAGTGGACCTGTAAAACATAATCACAAAACATAATTTTCAGTAATACTTAAATCTAAAATTAATTAAAATAATTTCGTACCTTGTCGACGAGTCCTCAACAAACTTAGCCCAGTGTTGACCTTCCACTGACCTATCTAACGGCTAATTGGCTAATTTTTAAATTATCACATGGCTCAATCACGTCCTGGTTAAAGTTTGTTCGCTACGCTCACTCACCTTTAGGTTGGAGCTCGTTCGCTACGCTCACTCACCTTTAGGTTGGAGCTCGTTCGCTGCGCTCACTTGCCTTCAGGTTAGCTCGTTCGCTAAGCTAACTCGCCTCCAGGTTAAAGTTCGTTCGCTACGCTCACTCACCTTTTGGTTGCAAATTAGCTGTTGTCAAAAATGTACCTAAAGTTGAGTGAGCGTAGCGAACGAACTTCAACCAGGACAAGATTGAGCCATGCAAACGAGATCATCTTGAAAATTAAGAAGTTAAACGGGGTAAAGCCCGCGGGTTACAGCTAGTTAATACATATTTTTACTAATCATGATTGGAAATGCCCACAGTTAACTATGTACCACATGTATGTTACAGACACATTGTCCTGAGTGCAGCTCCGATCCTCAGCACTTGTCAGTGGGAAGTGATGTGTCTAGGGTTACACAGAGCTTGTTCTCTCTCCCTGTTCTCTCTACATCAGCTGATGGCTGCCTTCCGCCCGGGGTCTCACAGCTTCTACGGGGACGGAGCTCATGTCAAGGTGGCCGCTCGCAGGGACTCGACCCCTCAGGAGTCCGAGAGGCTGAAACAACTAGCACAACAGGTAAATCATGTGTAGTTGGGTTCTTTAGTTAATTCTTCTTTAGTTAATCTCAATCACCTTGATTTTTGGTAGGATTGTTTTATGTGTTGCATTCTCTATAGTATTTCAGTTGGGTTTTATTAAATGCAAACGATTAAGTAAATATATTTTAGACGAGGGGGCCTTTTTTAGCCACCATTTGTCCCTCTGCTAGGTTTTAAAATAACACTTAAATTATTCAAATTGGTTAAATAGGATGGGTAATAATAGATTTACAGAGGTTACGGAGAAACCCCTTTCCGTTTCAGGTATATATTTTGTAAATATGATACGGTTCCCTGTCAATTTCCTTCTTTGTCCTTTGTAATAGTGCTGAAATCAGTGACATGTCCCTCATGTCCACTAAAATTTCCATGTAAGATTTAGCTTCTTGTAATAACTGTCTTTAGCCTATCCTTTTGATCATGTGGAAACGGAAAAATTTCTTACAGAGAATATCTTTATGGATACCACATTCTTTTATGCAATGTGTACAGTTTAGTGGATAGACTCTTCTATAAGATCTGTGCTTATATAAAGCAAGAAGTAAAGAAGCAAGAAGTATCCATGCGTTTTTTCACTATATCCATGATCTTGGTAGGTTTTCTTGCTGGAAGGCCAGAGAGGAGACTGGGCTGACGAAGGCTCTGATGATCGCAGCTACTATCTCCTGCTCTACCCTCAGGACCTGGCTCCCTCAGCCAACCCGGAGCATTACGTGGTCCGGGTCCCCTTCAGGAACCTCCTCGTGGGACTCCTCTCTCACCAGATGCTGCTGCAGACTGTAGGCTGCCTGCTGATACAGGGAACACCTCACGTCATTCCTAGGTGAGGAATTAAAACTATTTGTTTGGATAAAATGATCATTATGTAATGAAATACAGTCCAATACAAAAAATCCAAAAAAAAAGTGAAATACAAGTATTTGTTTCTTGTTGTTGTATCTATTTGTTGGTAATCTACCTGCGCCTACTGTTGTGACCAGCTGTAAACGTAATTCTAGCTTTTATGATAGTATATCAGATTTTGATTCTTTGGCTTAGTTAGGGTCTTTGACTTGAAAATTGGGAGTCACAAATCTCTATCCAAACATTGAATTACCGGTAACGTGAAAAAGTCTTGTATAGAAAATATATTGATAGAAAGTGTCAGTTGTAGATGTAACATAAAAAATTGTTGTTGCAGCCTAGCCAATGTTCTGCTGCAATCCCCATCAGGCACCCCACATGACAAGAGTAACAACGTGGATCACACTTTACCAGGCATGATGCCTTACATGAGTCAACACCACATTCAAACCCTCCTGGCATGTCTGGATCTTTCATACGACGCTGCCATCCAGTTTGACACAAGACCCGGCTTGAAGTTCTTGATCCAGAAAGTAGCTGGAATGGAAAGAGCAGCAAACTTGTACCGTCAAGCCGGAGCTGCTTGGATATTGAAGGTCGTAACACTCTTTGACCTGAGCCTTCATGAAGTGAAGAAGTCTGGAGCTACGCTAGACTGTGTGAAGAAAATCATAGAGGAGGAAGATTCCAAACTGAAGCAAGAACTTGAAAAGGTCAAATCAAGCCCTTCGAGCGAAAGAGGGGACAAGATTATGGAAACACCACCATCTGGGAATTCAGAGAGTGACTGTAACGACATGACAACATTCCTGCTCAGATTGAGGCAGAGCTTTGACAAACTGTGTGACACGTACATCGACGTTGTACTGGACAAAGATGGCACACACTCTGCGGTCGATCGAATTTCTGATCAACCCATATTTTTCCTGATCGCGCAAACTGACGATTTTCCCGATATAAAATGGAAGGATTTATCCGACGAGTTGGTAAGTAATTTTGAAGAGGCTAAATTAGACGATCAGGATTCGGGTGATGATGACTCGGATAGTGATAAAGAAGACGAAGAAGAAAAAGCTGTACCTGAAAAAGGGAAAGATTTGACTACTGATCAAGACTCAAAAGTTCATGACAATGTGAAGAAACCTTTTAAATTTGCTGATCTGGCTCAGCAATACAATGACTCAGCGAGTGAGGGTGAAACAGACACTCATCCGCAGAAGGAGGAGAGTGTCTACAACGTGGCTGGTGGAAGTGATGTTGAGGGCCTCATGGAAGAGTACAAACGTAGAAAACAACTCTGTGCACTGCCGTTGTCAGCTAACGCGGAAAAACGTAAAAACCCTTTCAACCAAAGGAAAACCTCAATTGATCCTCCTCTAGTCCCAACTGATCCTCTTCCACCCGAGATTGAGCAACAGAGGAAGAACAGCATTTATAAGGTATGTACTGTTAAATCTATGAAAATAGCTTCTGTTCTAGCCTATAATAGAATTGCAAATGTTGTGAAACCCAGTTCAAACGACAAAAAAACTCAAGTAAGCTTTCTTTGAAAATAAGTTTAAATACTAAAGATCTAATACAATTTTTTGCCGAATTGACAATAATGCTTTTTATATTTTTGTATAATCAACGTTGCTTAGATTTTAGTTGAACATACTTTGAAATATTAGGTCAATAATTGGCACTTTTGCATGAATTAGCAATTTTAGAATACTTATTGTTACAACATATCCCTGTACATTTTCTACCCTAAGTAACTTCTTAATTATAGTACCTTTTCAAAAGTTTTTATGCAATAATCGTCAAAAAACACCTTAATTAATTACTTTATTTTTATCTATTGCATTTTGATTTTCTTACTCAGCATGGCAAACTTTTTGTTATTTCACTATACAAGTGCTGATTAAAGTTTTTTTTAAGTAGGATGTTTAGTCCTTCGTATAGGCCACCAAATGTGCAAACTTGTCTGATTTCAGTAGGCCATCCTGTTCCATTGCCGTCAGTCTGACAAACATTCTTGCCATATAGGCACAAGTTAGACAACCGGCACTGTAGTTGTCCTAAAGTAAAGTTGGTTTTAATATATTAGAGGTTACCAAGGGAAATTTATAAAAACGGTATGATATAGAGTATTGTTTCTGCCAGTCACGGGCACTGAGCCAGTTATGATAGGGTCAGTCAGCTGTGAAGGTGTGAGCCTTGACTGATGACTGATGATCAGTCTGATGAACAATGGCCCACACCCAACATCTCTATCAGTCTAATGTATTCTCATCAGAGACAAATTGGGGATTATGATGGAACAGTTAGTTTCATTGGCAGTTTAATGCAGTTTTTTATACAGACTTACGCATAAATGCATAAAAACGAGTAGAGAACTTTTTTTGTATAATTTACGTTTGCTCAAAGTCACAGCTTCAGAGTTTCAAATCATCAGTTTTTGCTTTTGTCTGGGGAAAAATATGATTAGGAAATTTACCATAATAAACAATATAGTTGAAGTAGGGCACTTATTTTGAAGGTGAAATTTTTAGTTGTGTACCTACCCAATGCTAAATTTTAGTTTTAATTTTTCAATTTTTTGATCAGCATTGTGAAAACATGTAAAGATTTGTGGTGATTTTTAAACTCAGTACCATGGATAAACAATGTAGAAATTTCTCCTATTATAAAAAACAACACAGATACATGGCAATATTTTACAATATAGACAAAAAGAGAGGAAGTAAATAGATATTTCAACTAAACAAGGCCTAGAGAACATAAAAAAATATAGTTTATTTTATATTTCAAAAGATAAAATATTTTATTTAAAAATCACAGGAAACTGCAGTTGCATCATTCTTAACACAAAACATGTCCTTAATTTACACAAAACTGTTCTTTAAAATGTACAATCAATACATTAGAAAGTGTTTAGTCGTAGTGATTCATGAATAAGTTTTTTTAGGTAAATTAAAACTAAATCAGAGAAGTAACCTATATTAAAAAAAAAATAATAACACAATAGTGATAGGGTTTGTTGGGTATCTGTAGAGGACCCGTTGGTACTGACTATTTGTTTCTTGTAATTTCATTAATTATTTTTGATGAATATAACATACAACAATCTCCATACCATTACCACATGTCTTCTGGTATTTTATTTTAAGGGTAAAACAAAAATCTTAAAATCTACCCCAAAATAAGATCAACCATTTAGTCCCGTGCACCCTCAAACGTTTCCAAACACATCAAAACAGGCTTCCGCTCTTAATAGGTTGAAAAGTCAACTTGCACTAAGTTTAAAGTCAATAGTTCCCAAGCCTTTCTATTATTTTATTTCTACATTGCTTAGCACTCAAAACGTATGGATACAGAGATAATTTCAAACTCAGTAGGTTCAAGTAGTTTTTAACACCTCTGGCATTGCTTGCGCACTGACACACTGCATTGACCCCTGTCACTGCAGGACAGTGAGGCTCACATGGCCGTGTGGGCGGAGATGTTGGTGTCGGTGTTTGACCTGTTGTCACAACTGGACGACTCCAGGTTCCGCACACTGCTGCCGCTGCTGTTCCACGGCGTGCGCTCCCTGACTCAGCACGCCACACACCCCACGCTCAAACACGCCATCGCCTCGTTCTTCCACAGGGTAGCGCTGCTGTACGGGTTCAGTCCCGAGTAAAAGCTTTACGAGATGAAGGCTCTTGCAACGGTTCGTATTTGTTTGTGAGCGAGTTGGGATGAAAATGTAGTTTCAGGTGAGTTGGAGTTTTACAACGTTTTTAAAAGTAGCTATTCAACTTTTTGTGTCAAAGTTTAATTCTGTGAAAATGTGAGGATAAAGGATAATTGTGTTTTGAAACCAAACTGTTTAAAACAAGGGCTAAAATTTGAATAACCAATTTTATTGCTACTCTGAGTATTTGATTATCTTTTAATTCATAAGTAAGTCATCATTTGCTACCTATTTTAGTGACAAAATAAGATTTAGGATGGTCTCCTATAAAAAAAGTAAAAAAGGCAGTGGCGTTAAAAAAAAATTAATTAAACTGGATGCAAATTACTTTTTTAACTATCCAAACATGTAGTTTTAGAGACTATTGCGGCATTTTCCATTATAATTAGTAAAATACCCCTGCTGCAGCAAACCTGCAGACTTAGCGAATTTCCATTTGCCTGATTGGATTTAAACTAAAACTAGTGAACCTGTGCGGCTCAATGCCCCGCAAAATAACATATGAATTTAGAAAAGAAATTCATCGTATTATATATTGACTCGACGACGAAAATTAAACAGTAATAATGGAGCCTTGAAAGGGAAGCAGTCCAGCCATTTTCTAGCTGTATGTGTATTACTTTTAGTAAATTAATAGGTAAGTGTTCAAGTTCAAGTATGTTATAGGCAGCAAGCAAGGTTATAGGGTAGTTATTTTTAAAGATTTTTAAAACACATTTAACACAACATTTTATCATATCAAACCAATCAAACCAAGGCCTATGTAGCATATTTTGAGGGTCATAAAAATGCTGCTTAAGGAAAACACACTTTTAAAAACAAACACTAAAAAACAATATTTTTATAACAAAAGCACTTCCATGAATACTACGATTTTAGCCTTAAAGTTACCTTCAGGAAGATTACCCTGCTCAGAGTTTTCCGTAACGAATATGCGTATCCTATTAAAAGCCTTACTTAAAACAACATATATAATATATTTGCTCATGACTAAAATTGGTCTGGGTAAGAACAGCGCTGCAAATGCCAAAGGTAACAGAAATTAGCATCTTTCCATTTCAAAAGGTAAGTTTGTTTCAGACGGGTAAATTTTTTTCCTCGAAATCAAAATACGTCCCCACTCACTTGTTTCAGTTAAGACTTTACATTCTATTAAGTTGTTAACCATTCTGATCACGTGAAGCCTTGTGCCATTAATGAGGCCCTTTTTGATGTATTAATATTCCTCATCAATAAAACCACTGCCCCCTTTTATTAGTCTAATCTGTGTCTTGGCAATCCACTGACCTCTATATTTTAAAACTCAGTTGGATTTTCTAGATGGTTGTCTCCGCCTTCGTCTGTTTTCATGGACCAACTCTTCTTCCCCTTGGTATACTATACTGACAATTAATTACCTGACTTGTCAAGTTCATGTAGTAATTCATTAATACTATTAGTTTATAAAGAAAATTAGATAAAAGTTACTTGGCTTGGTGCTTTCATAACTGCAAACTCAAAATACACCCACAAGTAAAAAAGAATCATGATATTGGTTAAAAAACTATGTTTGTGTAGTAACATTATTCACATGAAGTAGATGATTTGTTTGATTTGTCGATCAGCTGTTTAGTTTCAAATGAATTAATAATGTCAAAGAGTTGTGATTTAAATACATAAATCTTTATAGTAAAGTTTTCTAAATCATGGTAACTTATTCTCCACTAAATTTTACTATTCCCAGCATTAAAATAAAGTAGTAAGATCCATTATGGGTAAACTTTAAGGTACACAATCCTTGATTGAAATGTAGTAGGTATACATTAAGAGTCATAATACACAGCAATTATTATGTAGTAGACTTTGACTATTTTCAAGTAACAAACATATGTTTCTGTAAATAAAAACTATCTCCCATGTTATCCTAATGGAGAAATACGAAACTTTAAAGGGCTCCAGGACCTCAATCTCTCATTATTTCCTTAAAAAGAAAGTTTCCTGCACAACTTCACGTTAGGCTCTTTCCAATGACACCAAAAACATGCCAATCGGATCAGTAGTTTCGGAGGAGTAATTGTCACAAAAAATCTGCTTGCGTATTAAATAAGTACTAGTGTACATGTTGCTCGAAATCGAGCAATTTCAAATAAGTACAGGAGTTGAGGAGTTACAAATAAACAAATGACTTGTTTAAAAACTAATAACAGTCATAATTTCCGATGATTTTAAAAGAGTCAACTAAAAGGTTAACTGATAAAAATACTCACAATTTACATAACAGTCCTATTCCAGTTTAAAGGGTTAATGTTTAACTATCAAACTGTCCATGGACGGGAAAAGGTAAGCTTACAATTTAAGTCAAAGTAAAAAGGCTGTCAGCTTTTATAATGTTAGGCCTACCTAAGTTATTTAGCCAATTTGTAGGTGAGGGTGTAGGCTACTTTAAACTCTACAGAACAGAGTTAGGCAAAAACTGGCAGAACTCTGAAATGGAGTTATTTATCATAGACATACTCATATGCCAAATCCTTAAAATAACAATTCAATAATTAATAACGTATATCGTTAAACACAAACCAACATCCAAAACTATACACATTTTTAATACAACATAGTTAATTTACACATTGACTGTTTACAATTAACAACATATGTTCTTCTTCAGGCATTTGATAGTTCTGGTTGTTCACATTTAAATGTCAAAGCAAAATGTAATATTTAATTTCTGACAACAGCTGGAGTTTCAAAACAATGTTTGTTTCCCATGTTAATCTTATGGAGAAATACGAAACTTTAAAGGGCCCCAGGGACTCACTCTCTAATTATTTACCTAAAAAGAAAGTTTTCCTGCACAACTTCACGTTACGCTCTTTCCAATGACACCAAAAACATGTCAATCGGTTCAGTAGTTTCGGAGGAGTAATTGTCACAAAAATCCTGCTTGCGTATTAAATAAGTACTAGTGGTCGTCCTGTGGTCGAAACTCGACCAAAAATAATTAATGTACAGACTTCTCTATTTTCTCCCCACACTGTAAATAAAACATGTGATTGGGATTTCTTCCATTTGTTTTGATTTTCTGTTTACATTTTGTTGTTATTTCGTCACCATCATGGCAACCCAGTTGGTCCATGTTAATTTTTTGAAGTTTTCAAATTCGTTTTTGTGCTTATTTTTTAGCCTATTTTAATTTATAAAGGGATTCTGCACATCTACAGGCAAATATCTTTCTAACAGTATGCGTAGATTTCCCCTGCGATGCACACGAGCTGAGAAAAAAGGTTTTAAAGAAACATGCTTGCCTATTAATATATAGATAGATAGATAGATGTCTCCTTAAAAATATCACATTTATTTCCTATTTAAACAGAATTAGTTTAATGAGTACTTAGGTTTGCTGCAACAGGGAGGGTAAAAAGTTTTTTTTTATATAAAATGTTAAAAGGTGCTGTGGTTTAGTAAGAAATTAATGTATTTTCCAAATTTGATCAAAATATGTTCATAAACAAGCAAACTACAACAGTTGACTTATTCTCCATAAGAATAACATGGGAATTTTAAAATTACAATTTTTTTTAATTTTCTCCGTAACAATTAGGCGCATAATAACGCTTCAATATACTAAATTATTTGTTTTTTTAAGCTCTACAAAATGGTTTAAAAAGAAATGATGAAATTTTGTGTTTTTAGGGTCAAAAATAGGAAAAACCCATTTTTACCCCATAAAACCCCCCATAAACCCCTGTTCCCATGGTCCGATTATGCTGGATTGCGAACTCGTTCGAATAAATGTAGGTTTACATGTTTGTACCAAATTTCATCAAAATCGGATCATTTTTGCTCGAGTTATCGCGCTAACGGACACATATATATATATATAAAAATATATATATATAAATATATATATATATAAATATATATATATATAAATATATATATAAATATATATATATATATATATGAATTTGAACTTATGGTGTTTTTGGCCTCTAGGGACTTCAAAACGAAAAAAAAAATCGGTCCCGCGTCCAGGTCTTACCATGAGTACTACGGTAATAGCTTATTCCCTATATGGGAAATTCGCTAATATTCCCTATATGGGAAATTCGCTAATATTCCCTATATGGGAAATTCGCTAATATTTCCTATATGGGAAATTCGCTAAAACCACAATCTTCACAATGTTTCGGGATCTGGAATATGATCTTGTCCTTTTAAAATGAGAAAGTACTTAGAAGACAACCAGCTTAGATTAGTCTAGATTTGTTTTATCTAAGGGGTTTTAATGTTCTTGTTTGACTACTATATACGTTCATATTTTTTCACACATATTGATGATTCCTCAGCTTTAGTTGGGTTATGCTTGATCTTAATATGTAGTAGGCCTGATGACAGGGTATAACTCCAAATCCCAAAAGATCGTTAAAATGTTACTATTCCCAATCAAAATGTCTGCAATAATGTCTTAAATAGCATGAGTTCACCACTCGCCAAATATAACCTTTAAACTTGTCCAAACTTTCAAATAATACCAAAAACCTTATCCTCAAATTCCAAGCAAGTTATCTTTGGAAGTTAAACCTTTGCAAGAGCCTTAACTTAACAGCACTAACGCAAGACTTGTTGTCTAGTCAATATCTCTCTCTTGCTTCTATTTTATACAGAAGACTACTAAATAATTCAAACCATCTTTACAACTGCAGTTTTAAGTGTTGTTGGTTGTCGGTTTGGAACTTAACAATAATGGTTGAAAGAATAATTTAGCAGTCTTAAATATCTTGCAACTCTCAATTATTAGTTTTAAGTTATAAGTATTTTTCTTAGGTACGAATGATAAGTCTGGTATGGCCTATAAAGTATTGCAACATTCCAATTTTGTTTTTGTTTTCACTTCTACACACTGTACTAGCACATTCTAGTCAATTATTTGTTTCCTTTATATAATACACTTAACCCACCAAATAGCCAATCCTAGTCAATCCTTGACGACTAAATAATTTGTAAGCACTCTACTAAGACATTAGTATTATTTTAGTTTTATCACAACACAATTTCTTTATTTTATATTTTTTAAGGGTTTTTTGTTTTATTTTCTTTATGTTGAATTTTTAGTTTAATCACTACTTACATTATACTATAATTATACTATATTCTAAAGCTAATCTATTTTCACCTAAGTGCTGAATACTGATTAACAATTTTTATGCAAATTTTGATATGTTGATATACATAACATTTACTTCTCGTCTTATATTTTTAATTGTTAAAATCCTGTGGATGTTTGCTTGAATTCCGTTAATTTATTTAACACAGCTTAAACATTCTAACGTTATTTTTGTATTCAAATACCAAAATATTAAGATTACAATATTCTAACTTATTTTTTAATTTCCTCATACTTATATCCTGTGCATTTTTTATTTTATATGATAAAACATAACACAAGATTATTGTGGAACACCGAGATTATTGTTTTTCATAAAGTACAAATTTTAATGTGCAAATAT